TTGAAATTGGAAAAAGTCAAAAAACGGCTTTGTTAACAAATTTTTTCACACTTGACACAATTTTAGCTAAATTTGTAAAAATCATAAAAGAAAATTTATGTGGTTTTGCAGGAGATACTAATTTGCAAGCAGATGCAAATTATATTTTGACTAAATTAGAATTATGTAATATTTGTCTTTTTGAAGAATATGTTCAAACTTTTAAAAAATATTATCATCTTATTGATCCACCAGCAAATCAACCCTAGTTAGATTAATTTTTTCATAAACTCCCTAATCCATGGGATGAGTTATGTATTAAAACATATCCTTATTTTCTTAAAAAAAAATGGGAAAGGAAGAATATGATAATCTTGATTTTCGCATTAATTATGTTCTAAGGCTGATAGCAGATCGGTGTCTAGAAGCAAAAGCAAAAAAAAACAAATAAAAAATCAAATTTCTAACTCACGATATGGTCAAAAATGTTGTGATAAAATTTTAAAAGAAAATTGGAAAATTGGTTGTAATATATTTCCTAAAAGAAAAGGATTTTCCAAAAAACGTAGAAAATATAAATGGAAATCTTGGAAAAAGAACAAAACTTTTTCAAAAAAGAAAAAGTATATTCGAAAAAAACAACAACAAGTGTTTCAAAAAAGAAAACTTGTAAATGTTACATTTGTAACGAAGAAGGTCACTATGCACCCGAATGCCCAAAAAGGGAAAAAAGTGCAAAGAAAATGATCAAAGTCCTTGAAGAACAAGATTTTGAAATAATATATGGAGAAGAAATTTCTGATGAAGAAGAAATCTTATATGAAATTTCTAGTGATGAAGAAAGTTCAGATGAAGAACTAATTTTCATGATGACTAATAATAGTCAAACAATATCTCAAGAAGCAGATAACATATCTCAAGAAGAATTGCAGGCAATTCGACTTGGAGATGTAATCGGGAAAGAAAAAACTTTTACCGACGAAGAATTAATAAAATTCAAAAAAATACAAGAAGTTGTTGTTCCAAAAATTTATAAACTTTCAAAATTCAACTTCTTTTCAGCAAGAGTGTTTGAACAATACAGTGGTAACACTCAAGCAAAATGGTCAGAAGAAGGAAATATTGATATTCCTTTTTTTGATAAGAAAAAGGTTGCAAGATGGAAAAAGAAATATCCTGAAATTCAATAAATTCATATTGGATTAATCCAAGTAACCATAACAGCCTTATTTCGCCAAGGGATAGATACTCCTATTTTGGCGGTAATTTTTGATAAAAGGTTTTCCGACCCAATGAAAGCAATCATTGGAGGAATTCAATCTAATTTGGCTAATGGAGTAGTTTGGTTTAATATTAAACCAAATTTCTTTATTTCCATAAATGATCCTAATCTTAAAGATACAGTCAGAATAAGAATTAAAACACAAGGATTAGGAATGAAATAAAACTCTCATGATTTGGCTATTCGGTGGAAAACAATTCACGAATTCACCAAATTTCCTGAAACTAAAACAAAATCAAACAATAATAAAATCATTGAAATCTTTGAACCAAGACCATTTGACACGGTAATACAACATCGTCTAATGAATTGGAGTGATTTAGAAGTCCCTCGACAATGGTTAATCCAAGACCTAGTGGGACAAGGAGAATCTTCTAAAACAAAAAAATCGGCACAATTACAAATGCAGGCATCAGGAAAAAATTTATATATTGAAAATACAGTTCCAAAAATTAAAAGATCAACTTCTGTATTTGAAAAAGATTTTACTAACAAATCATTTTCAAAGTTAAGCATTGGAGAATCAAGTAATAATTCTAATCAAGAATCTATTACTTCAAACAATGTTCAAATTCCTATTTTTCCAGGAACAAGAAAACTTGAACATATTAAATCTGCATATATGTATCATTTTCAAACAAAAAATGATGATATTAATTTTTTTCCTAGCCAAGGACAAAGAAGATATACATATGTATTGGGAACATTTAATTTTGCAGGTTATAAACCCTATAGCCTCAGTGTTCTCATAGATACAGGAGCTACAGTCAACTCATGTAAATGGAATGTCATACTAAAAGAAAAATGGACATTAATGAAACATCCAATTTTAGTTACTGGAATAGATGGCAACCATACTTCCATACAATTCAAGGCTAAAAATATAACTATTTGGTTAAATAATAGCAAATTCATTATACCAAAAATTTTATATTTTCCGTATATGCATGGAGATTTCCTTCTTGGCAATAATTTTATATATAAATACCTTCCAATGCAAATACAAGAAAAGGCTATTTCATTAAGCATAAACAATGTCTTAATTCATATTCCCTTATTAGAACAACATAAATACATTTGTGATAAAGAGTTTGCGCCAGTGCCACGTGGTGATTTAACTCCCATCATCAAAACTATTGATGAATCACATTGGATTTATAAAATTTTAGAAGAAAATTTTAGTGAACATCCATTAAAACTATGGCAACGTAGTCCGCGTTATTGTAGTTTAAAATTGAAAGACCCTAATGTTATCATTAGAGTAAGACCGATGATCTATACTAGACAAGATATAGATGAATTTGATATTCAACTCCGGGAACTTTTAGACAAAAAGTTAATTGAAGAAACTAAAAGCCCTCACTCTAGCCCAGCTTTTATGGCAAGAAACCATGCTGAAATTAAAAGAGGAAAAGCCCGAATGGTAGTCAACTATAAACGGCTAAATGAAAATTTAAAATTTGATGGATATTTTATTCCACGAAAAGATGTTTTGATTAACTTAACCAAATGATCAAAAATCTTTAGTAAATTTGATTGTAAAAGTGGATTTTGGCAAATTCAATTGACTGAAGAGTCAAAAAAATTGACAGCCTTCAGTACACTTAGAGGACATTACCACTGGAATGTTATGCCTTTTGGGTTAAATATTGCACCACAGGTATTTCAACGGTGGATGGATCTAATTTTTAAAGACCTTAAAGATTGTTGTGTAGTTTATATTGATGATATACTTATCTTCTCTAAAACCAAGGAGGAGCGTAAGAAACATTTAAAATTACTTTGTGAAAGATTCCAAAAACATGGAATTATTTTGTCTCCAAAAAAGATTGAATTAGAAAAAGAATCAATTGAATTTTTGGAAATAATTTTAGACCAAAAAGGTTTAAAATTACAAGAACATATTTTGTCCAAAGTACGAGATTTTCCTAATACTCTTGAAAATATAACACAATTACAGAGTCTATTAGGCATTTTAAATTACGGACGAAATTTTATTAAAATTTTTTCAAAAATAGAAATTCCTTGGTTAACCAAATTAAGGAAAAATGTTATTTTTGAATGGACAGCAGAAGATGTTGCTTTAATTAAACAAATTAAAGAAAATGTTAAAACTTTACCAGATGTTTATCTTCCTAAAATAGGTGATAAATTAATTTTAGAAACAGATGCCTCAGAAGCATGCTGGGGATGTGTTCTTAAAGCAATACCAAGTAATTTATGGTATGATAAAGAGACACCTTTATCAGAAAATGGGATTAGACTAAGAAAAAATTCAATACCCATAAAATTACAAAAAGAAGAGTTAATTTGTGGATATAATTCTGGAACATTTCAACCAAATGAACAGAAATATATTATTTTCAAAAAAGAATTACTTGCAATAAAATTAGCAATAAAGAGTTTTCATATTTATTTAGCTCCAGAAAATTTTATTGTACGCACTGATAATAAGGCAGTAAGAGATTTCTTGATCAATAAAAAACCTATTGAACAAGGAAGAAGATTAGCCTGGTATAATAAAATTTCCGAATACACTTTTGAAGTAGAACATCTTAAAGGTACTAACAATTTTCTTGCAGATTTTCTTAGCAGAAATTGTTTTAGAAAATTAAATTGCTAAACAAGTAAATTTAATTTTTGCAGAAGACCTCTAGACCAAGAGGAAACAATGGATAAAGGTAAACAACCAGCTCAAGGAGATTGGGTGACAATTGCTAAAAAAGTAAACCCCAAAGAAGAAAAAGTTTATGTTGTGTTTGCAGGAAAACAACCTGAAATTTACATAGAATGGAATAATTGCAAAACACAAGTTTGTGGATATTTAGGAGCGAGCTATAAAGCATATGATAGCATGACCAAAGCTAAAAAAACTTTTTACAGTACACCAACTATGTCTGTTTATCAAAAGAATTTTTGTCAAATGAGAACTAACCCAGTTCCAACTAATATTCAGACATCTAGACCAGAAGAATCTGAAATAAAAGATTTTTTCAATCCTGGTAAATCCAGAGAAATTTATACATAACTCAATGGAGTTTGAAAAACTTACATTGTAGACAACAAAGTGAAATTTCGAAAACACATGGGAGTTCTGGCCAACAAATTAGCTGAGCAAACAGCTAAATTAAAAGATTTGCAAAATCTTTGTTTCAATATTCTTAAACAAATGAATTGGAATGAAGATTTTAATTTTGAAAAAATAAATAATTTTCTTCAACTATCAGACCTCATATCAGATGAGTTTTCTGATTCAGTTTTTGAACAAATAAAAAGAATGTCTTTTTGAAAAAGCAAGAACTTTGCTTCCAAAAGAAATTTTTATGTTAATCAAAAATCGGGTTGAAGATCATCATGATAAGATTAGACAAATCTTAGAACGATCTTATGATAAATTAAATTTGAAAGATGGAATTCCCAAAATAACCATCATAGCAAACCATGACATGTGGTCTTTTGAGGATATAGATTGGGGAATAACTAATCAAGTTATTTTCCAAATTTTAGATCCAATTCAATGGATAGATTATCCAATGATCATCAAAACAATGCTCTCATGGATAGTAAAAAGCTTTCGATAGAGCAAATATTTTACTTTTTGGATCTCCAGTACTGTTGGTTGGCGAGAACGAAAACATTTTTTCCAACCATACCAGATTTGGTATCTTAAAGAAACTGAAGATTTTGAATTTGAAGATGATTATTTAGATGAAGATCACCTGAGAGAGCGATTGGAAAATATCCAAAACCTTTCTTTAACAGAATATTGGATAGACAGTCTAATATCTGTTTCACAAGCAGCGTCCAACATCCATGGCTCAGCAAAATTGCCACTCATGGTTACAGATGGAAGAATATTATTTGTAACTCATTTTCCTATAACATATCAAAGGTCTCCTACACAAATTAATGAGGCTCTTGACATGTTAATAAATCTCAAAAAGAGAAATAATTTAGATCTTCCGTTGGAACTAGCCATGACAGCAGATGATGTAGAACATTTCCGGAATGAGCAATACAGCCAAGATCCGGATTCCCCTCCATCAGAGACTGATGAAGAATATCACAATCTCATCAACAGGATGGAAGCACAGTGGACCCCACTATCAAATGCAGCTGTCTCCTGATCGACTCCAACCTTATCCAGGACACGTGGAACAACCTGCATTATTTGGCGGAAAGTGATTAGCCACATCCTTTCAACCGACGCTACACGACAAAACAGCTCAGCCAAAGCTTATCTACACCAGTCTATCTCTTTGAAAACCGGGAAGGGTAGACAGTGTGTATCAGTGTATATAATTGTAAAAACTGTAGCAAAGAGCAAATAATTGTAGTCCTTTTGTATTTATTTTTGTCTCTTTGTATTTACTTTTAGGTAGATTTTTCAAAAAGCCTATGACTAGGCTTGCCTCAAGTGTTAGAATTTTGCAAACTTTTAGTTGAAAAGTCTTGCAAAGTTAGATATGTTAGATATGAAGTTAGATATACATTAAGTTTGGATTTTTGTTTGTATTCACCTTGTAAGTCTATATATTGGCCTTTATGTCAACCTAATAGAGCATGTAAATTCCCTTCAACTCCTCTCCATCTTTTTGCTTTCTTCTTTGTCTCTAAGTTCTCTATCATAATTCCTTATTTTATAACCCCACCATAATTCCATAAGTAATTCCATTCTATACTTCCCTCGCATATGGCAGAAAGGGAGCTTCATAGTGTCCGCATCATTGCACCACTTTGGCAGGCGGCTTGAATTGTTTTCAAAGAACTTGAGTGTGTAAGCATCTTTTATCTACAGTTTGGACAAGATAAATTAATAAAGCAATAATATGTGAAATTCCGGACCTGGGTTTTACGTCCACACAACAATCAATTTCAGTTGAACATCCATATTTATATTTACCCACACAGTTCAAGTTTAGTTTCATGCTAGTAAAATAAAGGGCAAATTACATAAATATCCCTAAAGTATACCATTAATTTCATTTTGGCCTATAATTTTTAATTTGTATCAATTACATTCCTAAACTTTACACATTGATTCAATACAGTCCCCTATCCTAACTATCGTCTAAAAAAAAAATGAAAAATGCTTATGTCAGCTTCACATAAGGCATTTGGAGAGCATTAGAAACAATTTCTCATTTTCCACCTAAATGAATCGCAAGACACGTGAAATGAACATTATTTACAAAATAAAGCACATCTAAGACCTCCACTTCATTACTGAAAGTCAAATACATAGCGTGTTTGGCTCTTTGAATGATAGTATATGGTATAAACAGATGTGTCAAAATGCCCTTTATGTCCTTCAATGCTTGATGTGAGACTGGCATAAGCAATTTTTAGTATGTTTTTTAGACAATAGTTAAGAAAGGGACTAAATTGGATTAATGTGAAAAGTTTAGGGATGCAATTGATGCAAATTAAAGACATGGGACCAAAATGAAATCAAGGGTATACTTTAGGGACCATTTGTGTAATTTATCCTAAAATAAACTTAAATTCTTTATTTTTTGTCCGTAAATAAGTACAAAGCAGTGCATATGGACGATAACAGTTCTATTAAGAAAAAAATTTGTCAATAATCATTCAATGCATACTTAGGTAAAATGTAAGGGTTCAGTCAGCAGATCTTCCAACCTCATGCAAATACAATAACACAGTTTAAACCATCTAAGTACTGGATTTACATATAAGCCATTTCAATAAATAAATAAAATCATTTTATAGATCATGCAACTTAATTGGATGCAAATTTGAGACTTTTGTTATTTAAATTAATGAAATTGAATATTCACAACAAACTCACCTTAAACTTTGTAACTTGAATGGAGTTTGCAATTGGATCAAACAACCCTGCTTCCTTGTACATTTCAAGAATGAAAACGACACATGATGTAGACTTTCCATCACTGTATATCCAATTGTCTTGCTCGGGAATTGTCAACAATTCATCAAAAGATGACCCCACGCCTTTCAGCTTCTACAAGAATTTCAGGAAGATCAAGGCCCTACACAGAAGTCCAATGTCAAATCAAATATTTAAACAAATACAGACAAGTACACACTTCATTTTATTTAAGTATTACACCAGAATTTAATGATGCTATTAGTTATTGTATATCACTTCATCCAGACCAACGTCTAATTTCAATGGCTTGCTGGTTAGGATCAAACTATCTTGTCTAGATTTGGTCCAAGAGATTGTCAATTAATCTCATGAACTGCCAGTACCAATACATTTCCCAAGTCGTCTTTGATGACAAAACAAACCAAACCAAATTAAACCTTACGTTACAATCAATTGGGATAAGCTACATGAATCCTTTTTCACCATTCAATTCTATCAAGAACTATATGCTTAGTTAAATGAGATAAATTCTTTTGTTTTTTTTTTACTATCCCAATAACACACTAGAGATACAGATGCCCGATACACCATTCCTCAATATAAAAGGACCCAAATGGATAACAATGGGAATCCTCTTTCGGTCATGAGAATCCCATCTATTTAAACTATGTTTTTCAACAAGCAAACCTTTATGAACTTTCGGTCAATAAAATGAGGAATAAATTGTTACAATACCTTAGTTCCAAGTCACTTGTTCAAGGCTTCATTCCACATGTTAGCAGCATAATGAGGCTGTACATTATTCCAGACGGTCATAACAGAAGCAACCTGTTAAGTAACAAATTTGACAATCAAAACCAGTAAATGAAAATAAAACCCCCCATGCTGCATAATATACAAGAGAAAGAGGAGACAGAAAGGAATGCAGCACCAGCAAATAAGTTCTACATTATTAGTATCATCATTATGGTACTGCCAGTCTCAACCTTTACATGCCTCTGGAATGTGGTAGGTAGTAATGAATTAATTGAACAGATTTAAATTGTCATGGAAAAAAGAAAATTTTGTAGATCGTCTAATTATTTCATTTTTACAACCAAACACATCTAACTGTCTAATTCATTAATAAATTGATTCTCCATTGCCCAATTCCTAAGCATATCTCAATAGTGTGCAAAGATCATAGAACATAGCAAACCCAAAGGCCAGCATGAACTTAACTTTGCAGTCGAAGTACGAGAATCAAAATTCAGCTTTTTTTTTTTTTAAATAACCCTTGGAATTCCGATGGGCTGGCTCCTTTGGCCCCGTTTGATAGAGCTGTGAGAAAGTGATTATAACTTATAGCTAAACAGCTTATAGCTGTGAACATAAGCTGATTTTTGACTTATAAATTAAGCTTCTCCTCCCCCACTCAAAGAATAAGTTGATTTTTGACTTACAAAAAGCTATAAGCTGTATTGTTAAGTTGAACCAAACATATCTAAATAGCTTAAATTAAGCTAAAAGCTAGAATAAGCTGGAAATAAGCTCTACCAAATAGGGCCTTTGTGGGCCAGCTTGAATTTGGGACATCCACTTCTTAAGGTGTAGTCTTGAGCTATCTAGTTTACACTTCGAGTGTCATTTACATAGTTTTTTAGTGCTCGTGCAATATTACATGTTAGATGAATCACTAAGAGTGTTTATAATCAAGTTATACCTCATAGCCATAGGATTCAAAGCAGTAGTGGGCGGAATATAATTCTTTGAAATATCAAATGGTACCAAACCTCTCCTTAATTTGACAACCAAATGGCCATTGATAGAATCAAGTGGAGAAAAAGAATTTATGTAGCCAACTGATCCCATTTGATGGGACTTAAGGTTTGGTTTGGTACCAAGCCATACAACAGAAATATTAATAAATCACATAAATGTTGACAAAGAAAAGCTTAAATAAAATAGAAATAGTATATCATCCACTTATTTTGCAAACTAGGCCCAAACAATAAAATATGAAAAGGAAAAATAAATGTATTACCACATGAGCATCCAAGGGAGGCGGATAGTTCCCATCAATAGTGTCAATCCAGCTAAATATCAGGTGATGATAACCATAGGGCTTGCCCACCATGCTAAAAGCATACTCCCAAGCAGCAGTCTCATTAAACATGGCCCGGACGTCAGGATGCAAAGGAAGAAGTGAAATATGTGGATTGGACTCATCTTTAGTGAGCTCAAAGTTCCACCACTCATCCCATGGCAAAACATCAATTATATCATATCCCTAAAACGAAAATGTGAAACACCAGTTTTACATGAGTTTTAAGTCATGTTTGGTTTAAAGTGGCAACAATATGGAACTAACAACAATTTGCAGAAGTACAACGTACCAAATGCTATGCTAAAACTTCAGCGTACACACTACACTCATCTACAGAATAATGTACTATTGTACAAAATAGGCAGCTGAAATTTTATTTGATAAGCTTGGCTCCATCCTTTCCATCACAGCAGGGTGCATTTTACAAGGGACGGTGTAAGAATCTCATTAAAGGCTGTAATAGTGGACAGCTCAATGCACAAATTACAACCAAATGAGAAGAAATGTTCAAAAAATAATGGCCTTGTATGGTTTGATTTTGAGAGAATTTTTTTGGAAATATACTCTACAAACACTTTTTTAAGAGTAATCAAACCAAACAGATTTTCTCAAAAAAACTCTCAGAAATGTGTTTGGTTATCCAATTTCCAGGATTACTTTTGAAACATGTTTGCAAAAAGGGCAAATCAAACAAGTTTTTGTACATTTATCTCAAAAATTACTCTACAAAAAGGCAAACCAAACAAGTTTTTGAACTTTTTTATCTCAAAAACTACTCTAAAAAAAAAAACCAAAGTTATTTTAGAGAGAATATTTGTAAAAAGAAAAACCAAACAAGTTTTTGTACTTTTTATCTCAAAAACTACTCCATAAAAAAAACCAAAGTTATTTTAGAGAGGACATTTGTAAAAAGACAAACCAAAAAAGTTTTTGTACTTTTTATCTCAAAAACTACTCTACAAAAAAAACCAAAGTTATTTTAGAGAGAATATTTAGAAAAAGGCAAACCAAACAAGTTTTTGTACTTTTTTATCTCAAAAACTACTCTACAAACACAAACCAAACACACCCAATAATTCAAGATAGTGGGAAATAAGGATCTTACAATTCAACTAGCCACACCTGAAAAATACTCAAATAAGTTATGTAACAAGGGAGAAAACAATCAACTTGGTTACAACCCCTACACAGAAGATCAAAAATTGCAAAATGAGAAGGTTGGTGAAACAGCTCATTATGTTTGTATGTACACCAAGAAAACTTGTATGAATGCAAATGACAGGATTCTGAATTAGAAAATCAGCTCAAAAAGTTAAAAATCTTTGTTGCATTACATGATAAACTATTATCATCCCTTTTTCTTTTTCCTCAAAACCATTGATAAATGAAGCCAAAATTTCAAATGCATGAAAAAAAAGGTTGTAGGTTTGGCCACATGCACCTTAAACTTAATATACAAACATTTTAGCATAAAATGCACACTTTCAGATTGAAAGAGAGGTTAGCCCCAAGTGAAGATGAGATGGCCACAATCTTGCCTTGGAACAAAGAAGCGCTGAGTTCAAGCCATTCCATTTGGGGCCACCCCAAAGGATTTCTCTTGGCAATTACCAGATGCATGTGGGATGGGGGGATTGCATATGACCAGGGACTGGCCGGGTCCTCATAAGATTTTTTTTTTTTTTTATAAAAAAGAAAGCAAAGAAAGAGACTATAGAGGAAAGGTTCATTCCTTCCTACCTCCCTCACCCTTCCGTCCTCTAACCTAGGGCTGCAAATAAGTTGAGTTGAGCCGAGCCGAGCCGAGCCGAGCTCAACCCAACCCAACCGATCTTTGCTAAGCTCGAGCTTGGCTCTTTTGCTTATCAAGCTCATTTATTGAGCTCAAGCTCGGCTCGATAACTAACTGGGCTCGAGCTCGAGCTCGACTCAGCTCGATAAGAATTTTTTATTATTTAAATAAAGAAATATTAAATAATGCATTTATGCTATTAAACCAAACCAAACCAAATCTTAAGTCCCATCAAATAAAGTCGGCTACATGAATCCTCCTTCTCCACGCAGCTCTATCAAAAGTCATTTCATTAGTCAAATTAAGTAAAACCATATCTCTATTTACAACACTAGCCAACGTTAATCTAGGACTACTCCATCCCCTAAAACTTTCATCTACCATCGTTGCATCGCATTTCTTCACTACTGCCTTTATTGGTCTTCGTTGAATATGACCAAACCATCTCAATCGATTCTCTCTCAACTTATCTTCTATCGGTACTACTCCTACCCATTTCCGAATACACTCATTCCTAATTCTGTCTTGTCTAGTTTTGCCACACATCCATCTTAGCATCCTCATCTTATCGACATGTTGTTTGTTGGTGGCCCAACACTCCGTCCAATACAACATCGCTTGTCTAATAGCCGTTCTATAGAACTTACCTTTTAGTCTAATGGGTATTCGTTTATCGCACAGTACTCCAGACACACTTCTCCACTTAAGCCATCCTGCCTTAATCCTATGGGCCACATCCACATCAATCTCCCCCGCCATTGTGATAATCGATCCTAAATAACGAAAATGTTCAGTCTTAGGTAATTCTTGGTTCTCAAGCTTCAATTCTCCTCTGCTTTCATTATTACTGTTACTAAATTTATACTCAATGTACTCTATCTTAGTTCTGCTTATCCAGAATCCTTTAGATTCAAGTGCTTTTCTCTAAATCTCCAACTTTGTATTAACTCCTTCTCTAGTCTCATCTACTAACACAATATTATCTGCAAAAAGCATACACCATGGCACGTCATCCTGAATATTTCTCGTCAACTCATCCATAACTAATGCAAAAAGATAAGGACTTAAGATAGATCCTTGGTGTAATCCTACAGTGATAGGAAATTCATTTGTCTCTCCAACAGACGATCTAATAGTGGTCATCACTCTATCATACATGTCCTTAATCATATCAATGTAACATTTTGTTACTCCTTTCTTCTCTAACACCCACCATATTATATCCCGAGGAACTCTATCATATGCTTTCTCAAGTTCGATAAACATCATATAAATGTCTCTTTTCTTTTCTCTATACTTTTCTATTACTCTCCTCAACAGATAGATCACTTTCATTGTTGACCTACCAGGCATAAACCCAAATTGATTCTCTTACACCACTGTTATATCTTGCAATCGATGTTCCATCACCCTCTCCCACACTTTCATTATATGACACATTAGCTTGATTCCTCTATAGTTGTTGCAATTCTAGGCATCTCCTTTATTCTTATAGATTGACACTAAAATACTCTTCCTCCACTCATCTGACATGTTCCTAGTCAACAAAATTTTGCTAAATAATCTAGTCAACCAAGCAACCCCTTTTTTACCCAAACACTTCCATGCTTCAATAGGGATATCATCAGGTCCTAAAGTCTTATTTGATTTCATCTTCTCAAGTGCAATCTCTACTTCAAAGTTTCTAATCCTACGATAGAACTTATAGTCTTAGTTTATCGTATTACTAGCTATTTCTTCCCCTATTGACGTAACTCCATGTTCCTCATTTAATAGTTTCTCAAAATAGTTCTTCCATCTCTCCTTAATCTCTTCATTCTTCGCCAATACCTTAGAATCCTCATTCTTGATACACTTAACTTGATTAAAATCTCTTGTTTTCCTCTCCCGTATCTTAGCAAGTTTATATACCCTCTTCTCTCCCTCTTTACTATCTAGTCTAGTATATAGGTCATCATAAGCTTTCAACTTAGCCTCTCGCACTGCTTTCTTGACCTCCTTATTAGCCAATTTATAACTCTTAAGGTTTTCCACAATTCTATCCTTCTGTCACTTTTTAAAAGCACTTTTTTTTGCCGTAACGACCGCTTGAACCTCTTCCCCCCACCACCAAGTTTTCCTAGAGCTGGGTCCCGTTCCTTTCGACTCTCCAAGCACTTCCCTTGAGATTCTCCTTATACAATTGGCCATCGAATTTCACATAGTGTTAGCATCATCTACCAAGTCCCAAACAACTTCCTTATCCATTCTATTCTTAAATATTTCGAGTTTATCCCCTTTGAGGTCCTACTATCTCGTCCTATAACGCCCACCATCCTTCCTAGCTTGGTATTGCCCTTTAAAACATAAGTCTAGTACCAAAATTCTATGTTGAGAAGCCAGGCTCTCTCCAGGAATCACTTTACAATCACTGCATCTTAGGCGGTCCACTTCTCACTAAAAAGTAATCTATTTGGCTCTTAACTGACCCAATCTTAAAGGTTATCAAATGCTCCTCCCTCTTCTTATACATAGTAGCATTATGCTATTATTTATATAAATTTTATTTAATATATTTATTATATAATTTAAATAAAGATAAACGAGCCGAACTTATTTGAGCTCGACCTTAACTCGTTTACTAAACGAGCCTAATATTCGAGCTTGAACTCGACTCGTTTAATAAAAAAGCTGAATCGAGCCCTTAATGAGTCGAGCTGAGCCAGCTCGCGAATAGTTCAGTTCGTTTGCAGCCCTACTCTGGCCACACTCCCTACTCCAGCAACCACCCCCAAGCACTCCCCTATTTTTTGTTCCCTTACTATACTTGTTTTCTTGTTTTCATTTTGGAAAATGATATACGAGTTCATTTTCTAAATTCACTTTTTAGACCCAGTGATATTTAATGTAAAAGAGACGATTAGTTGATGATTAGAGAAAACATGAGAGAGAGAGAGAGAGTTGTGATTGATGATTAGAGAAAGCATGAGAGAGAGAGTCAACTTAAATATTCTAGGGCAAATTACAAATACACCTCCTAGAGTTTACTTGAAATATGGATTGCCCCTGTAATTTTGAAAATTACAAATAGCTACTTCAAACATTTTTATTAAACAAAATTAACAAAAAAATAAATTTCTAATTATTCTCTTATATAACAATAAAATTATCTGAATAGTTAATTGAAATATATTTATGACATCATTAAAAACTGTTAATTAACTTGATGATTTATTAATAAAATAGGTTATTTATTATATAATTCGAAACTTGAAGGGGCAGGATGTAATTTCCATAACCACAAGGGCAATCCGTATTTTAAGCAAATCTTAGGGGATGTATTTGTAATCTACCCAATATTCTAATAGGGTGCCACATCATTAGGTTTGAAAAATAGGTCTAACTTTTTGGCTAGAGTAGCATTACCTTTTGATTTTTTATGTTTTGAGAACATGTACAACACGCTATTTATTTTAGTTTTTACAAAAAAATAAAAAAAGAATAAAGAATGAACATATTTTATGTTTTTTGTACATAGGAAAAAAAAAAAATCACATGTTACTAAACACTACTTTAAATATTGGGTTTCTAATCATTTTAATTTAAATTGGCACAAGTTTTTTAAATCTCAAAATGAATATTTCTTAGGATAATCACTTTTTGAATTTTGGGGCTGCAAAAAGCATTTGGAGACGTATTTTCAAACTTTATAAACCTCAAGGAATGAGAATAATATATGAAATTAGTAAAAAAAAATTATTCATGACTATATGATTCAAAGTTCAAACTCAATATTAGCCACTTCTACTAGGGATGGCAATTTGAAGCCGGCCCGATGGAGACCCGATCCCCCGACCCCGAATTGAACGGTTTTTTTCCGAAAAATACCCCCAACGGGCCGGGATGATATTTAAAAATAAATCCCCGATGATATTCGGGTCGGGGACGGGGATATATTTTCCAACCCCGGCCCCGGCCCCGCCCCATTCAGCCTCAATGTAAGATTACCATTATACCCCTGTTTATATATATGTGTGTTTAGGGTTTGGTTGCCACACTTATACACAAACACAAGTCACACAAACACTGCTCTCTCTCTCTCTCACAGCCCCTAGGTTTTGTCTCCTCTCTCTCTCTCTCTCTCTCTCACACACACACACAACGACGGCTGCCTCTCCTCTCTCACCGTTGATCCTCCCTCACCGCCTCTGTCATTCTGCACTGTCTCTCCTCCCTTCCTTTCTCTTTCTTCACCACGGTTGCTCATTGTTCGCACTCTCACGGTCGTCGTTTGCTACGGCAGCTCCGCCACATATCTTGCCATCGTCGCCGGCGAAGAAGAATGGGGTTTGGTAAGACGACTCTCTCTCTCTCCCCTATCTTCTCTCTCTTTATTTCAGTTCTAAATCTAAGGCATTTGTCTTCTCCATTTCTCAGATCTAAACCAGATGGTGAAAGAAAATGAACCAAATCTGAAGAGCTTGTATATTTTTCTGTGTTTGGTAGCTAAGAAATATAGAAAGAAAATGAATTCGCTTTAGAAATTTTAGTGATGTTAATGATTGTTGTTGGTGATTTCAGATTTTTTTTCAAATATTTCTGTGCTTCTCTTCAATTTTAGATTTTTTTTTTTTAAAGTTGTTGATGATGATTGTTGATGATGATGAAACATATTGAAAATATATATATATATATATATTCTTGTATTGAACAAAATTCAAAAAAAAAAAAAATGGGTTGGGGATATTTTGGGGTCGGAGAAACCCGATCCCCGTTAAAGGGCAAGGGCGAGGGCGGGGGGATTGATGGGTTTCTCGCCGGGAATCGGGGACGGGGATGGGGATTTTTTTACCTTCGGGGATTGGGGACAGGGAGTGTAGTCCCCAATTGTGATTTTTTTTTTTTTGGGTTGAATTTCTCTCAAGTTCATGGCCAATGGGCCCATGATGGGTTTGTTTTAATGATTCAAACCGTTCATTTTGTAGGATTCTCAATGTATATTATCCATAAAAAATAATATAATAATTATAACATTTTTATTTTATTGTATTTGTCTAAAAAAAAAACAATAAGTACGTTTGGTGAGGTGGTTATGGACATGTATGTATTGGACAACTTCTTGGCAGTTATTTTAATCAATTTTTCTCCAACCTTGATGGAGACTGTATATAATGAATGAGGTCTATTTTCATGACTCATTTATGGACCTCATTCTTTATGTACTACTGCTTTTTTGTCTTGGTATCAAAATTTCATTATCAGACCATCTTTTAAATGTCTCTTCTATTTGATCTCTTTATTCTTCTTCTAACAATAATGGTAGCGGCACAAAAAAGTAAAAACAGAAGTGTATGAAAAAAATGAATTTGTGTTGTGTTCATTTTTATGTGCATATTTGTGTGTGTGTTTTTTTCCCGTGCACATAAGCATTGCTCTTATGTCTTTACACTTTCACATAGAACTTTGTAAACGAGTCAAGTTAAGCTTAGTAAATGGGTTGTTCAAGTTTGACTTGAAAACTTAACGAGCATGGTTTGTTTCTATTTCAAGTCGATCTCAAACTAAATTTAATCAAATGAATCATGAGGCAAAAAGTGAAAAATGATTGAATGCTATTGACTCAGGATTTTAACCAGTCCTGTTCACCAGTGAGGCTAATATCAACAAGTTCCATTCTCATACTGAAATAGTTAATATAGTGACAACAATAAAATCAAAGTTCCTAAATTAACCACAAGAATTGAATTTATCAAAACCAGTTACAGTGTCAAGGACTCTGAACCAACTAGGTTGCTATCTGATATAAATTCTCAAGTCTAAATTTTACTTTTGAAATGTCATCTTCTATAAATTCTCAAACATCATCTGAATTTGAGCATAGCTCGAGTGGATGTACTTCCAGGTTTCTAGAAGGAGGTTTGGCATTCAAGCTTATGGAGATGCGTCGAATGCCCGGCTGTGCTAACCTTAACTTAATAAAAATGTCTAAGAATCATCTTGTAGCTAATTATCTAGACGTACATAACATAAAATCAGAATTTCAATAGCTTTCTTTTCTCTCCTCTTATTTATTTATTTTATTCTGCCCATCAAAAAGAACAATAGTGTAGTGTTAAGGCAATAGAAACCTTGATTTCAGATGTGAATGCCATTTCAACATATGACATGACTCCAAAAGTTTAAACAATGATGAAATTTCCAAATTCTAACTTATTTTTAATTGTGCTATAAACAGTAATGAAATTAACATTACTCTCCGTGCATATTGTGGTAGCAAATTTACAAACAACATCAACCTACATCGACCAATCTTTTTCGAATCTTTCAAACCTACAATAATGAAAGTGTCCATGCTTCTTAGGCAACTCCAAATATGACTAAAATCAAGGATCTCGATAGTATAAATGTCTAATTACTTCATTTTCTTCATTCGATGGGCAAACACACTAGTTGGTTGACAACAAGAGCCAATATGTGAAATTTATACATGTTTATACTCACACATTCCATCAGTCTAACTAATCAGAAAAAATAATGCATCATGCATCAAACCACATGAATTAAAATTGTCACTAACAAAAAATTATAATGAAAATCAAACCCTAAGTTGTATAGCTTCGTCATTCAGAAAATTGAACAGGAAAGAGGCAAATCAAATTAGAATATAGCACATATACACACACGTACATGTATATACATAGAAAGAGAGAGAGAGAGAGAGAGAGAGAGAGAGAGAGAGAGTACCCAAATTAATCTGTTGAGAACAATCGTTATGACGAAACCACTCCACAAGCGCAGCGACTTCTTTGGAGAGTGGTCCACCAAGAACCTCGCGTCGTTGTTCTTCTACCTATAACAAATCAACTGCTTCTTCGGCCAGAGCATAAGTGCCGGTCCATTTCCGGTCGAACTGTCCAGGTCCAAAGGGAGAGAATCTCGGTGGTTCACGGTACCCAATGGGTTCAATCGAAGAGTTAGTCTAAGAGTATGAGTATCTGAAATCAATGGGTAGATTTGATTTCAATGAAAAATCGAAGACTTTCTCTGGTGAATGAAAATGGAGGTTCATAAGTACATCTTTATCTTGGGATTAAGATTGGCTTAAAAAACGAGAGATACGTAGGAGTATTGGCTGGTTTACAAGCACTGAAAATGAAGAAAAGCCGAGACATACGCCCTTGGATTTAATTCATCAAATAGGATTGCCTTTAGAGATTATTTCATTTTGGGGAAGTTACAAATAAAGAGTAAGGATTCTAGAGTTTTTTTTTTTCCTAAAGTTTCTTAGAGTAGTGTATTGTGTGGTTGAGATTTAATGACAAGTCACATTAATTTTTCAGCATTAAATCTCAACCACACAATACACTACTTTAGGAAACTTTAAGAAAAAAACACTCTAGAGGATCCTTGGTGACAAATAAACCCTGAGATTTAATTAAAATATGAATCATCTTCTTCTGTAGTTTTAAAAATTATATTTTACTTCTTGATATTTTTAATTGCATAATAAATTACTCCTTTTATTAATAAATCATCAAGTTAACTAACAGTCTTTAATGATGTTAGAAATATGTTTCAATTAATAATTTTATTATTATATAGGAAAGTAATTATGAATTTTATTTTTTTAGTTAATTATGTTAATAAAAAAATTTAACATGGGGTATTTGTAATTTTTCAAACTATAGGGGGAATTCTGTACTTTAAACAAGCCTCAAGGGGTGTATTTGTAATTTCCTTTCATTTTTATCCTTATACTTTTACATGATTTTTAATGACTTCTTAGACTATTTTTATTTTCACGTGTACTTCCATATTATTTAAGTTGTTATCAATTTTGCTCCTGCCGTCATATTTGAAAAGAAAGAAGTTTAAAAAATTACATTTAAACCCCAAATTTCAAAAGAAAGATACAAACACACCCTTTTTTATACTAGCAAACCACCACCATCAACCACCACTTCAAGCCCTTTTATCTCCTTCGCCAGGAGTGATTCAAATGTTGTGTCAAAACCATGAGGAAGAGCTAGAAGGTGCTTTTTTGGAAACACTTGAGAAGTGCATACACATATATAAGCACTGATGGTTTGGATGGTTTGTTGTAGGTGTGGATATTAGCATGAACACACATTTGAAGACCGTGAAATTGATAGTGAAAGGAGAAAAATCCAATTACTCTTGATCACCTAAGGTGAGGAGTAACAACATCTGCTACTACATTTTACCTGATAGCTTGAATCTTGAGACTTTGCTGGTGGAAGAGACACCCCGAGTTAAACCCAAAAAGCCCACTGCAGGTATTGCACATTGCATAGTTACTAACCTTTGGTGCATTGTGTTTACTGGTTTCAATCTTTTTATTTCTTTTAATTTCAAGGAAGCCTTTGGGCCGTGGTCGGGGCCGAAGTCGTGGCCGCGGACGTGGACGTGGTGGCCGATAATCAAGTTGCCTTGGTTTTATTCATTTGAGCACCTAGCTATGTGAAATCAATATGTTGTAGGGAGTGTTTGTTAATGATCGCCATACCCAATAGATGGCATTACAACCAACTTTTTCATTTTACTATTAGCTCTATTTCTTATATATTGGAAGTGCTTCTTTTATATTCTTTGGCCTTGTTATCAAAGTGGTCTTCTATCTCATGACTTCAATGAGCTTTCGACGAAATTATTTGTTTCAACTAATCTATTCGTAATGCCATGGTCTATTTTATCCAGTAGAGATCACCATCGGACTTATGTTAAAAGTTTTTGACCATATAGATGAATGTTTGAAATTTTCAAAATTAGTTTTCGGACAACTTTCGACATACCAAAATCGTCCATTACACGAAGAAGTGAGAAAGCGAGGTAGTGTTGGGAAAAGTAGGAAGTGAGGTGAAGAGAATGGCGAAAGAATGAAGTAGAACCGTCAAGAATCGAAAAAGATATGAAGTCCGAAAGATGGCTCGAAGAAAAGTAAAAAATGAGAAGAAAATTCTTATTACTTTTTTATCAACTTTCGGAGCTCTGATAGCATACAATTAGAGGAAAAACGAGACGTGTGAGATGTGATACGACAAATAGACCGTGATTTTAATCCAACGACGTAAAAATGAGGTGAAACAGAGTTATAACAAATGAGATAGAAGGGCTTAAAGTGGTGGTTGGTGGTGGTGGTGGTTTGCTGGTATAGGAAATGGTGGGTCTGCATCTTTCTTTTGAAATTTAGGGCCAAAATGTAATTTTTTAACTTTTTCCGTTTCAAATATGACGGCAGGGACAAAATTAATAGTAACTTAAATAGTATGGTGGTACGCGTGAAAATAAGAGTAGTCTGGGGGGTCATTGAAAATCGTGTAAAAGTATAGGGATAAAAATGAAATAATCTCTTGCCTTTATATAGGCTCATACATAAAAATATCATAAAAGTAGACACTTTTCAGCACTAATAACATGAAAGTAGGCACTGCACAACACTACTCAAACGTACAAAAAAAAATTCTATAGACTAGGTAAATAAAAACAATTTATAGAACAATACTCCATTATTAACCAATCCTAAAAACTAAGACAACCAATTCCTACCGACTAGGACAACTTTGACCGACTCAATATAAAGAAAATAAACATGCAACTCTAAATTATTCAACCAACCCTCCCTTAAACTAAATGCTTTCAGATTTCAGTTTAATTATGCAGTACTTTCTTCAAGTAAGATTCTTCAAAGTGCAAACTCCAAGCAACTTCCTCAAATTGTGAAAAGAAAAAGATCTGAGAGGTTTAGTAAATATATCAGCCAACTGATTATCACTTCTGTAATATTTCAAATCAATTGCTCCGTCATGGCTCAGATCTCTAAAAAAATAATGCTTCATGTTAATATGTTTGCTTCTTCCATGTAGCACAGGATTTTTAGAGAGTTTGATGGTTGAGCTATTGTCACAAAAAATTGTCGCAGCTCCCACTTGCTTGAAATGTAGTTCTTCGAGAATTTTTCTCAGCCAGATAGCTTGGCAAGCACAAGCCGTTAGAAAAAAATTCAACTTCAATGGTGGACAAAGTAATGATTGGTTTATTCTTAGATGACCACGAAACAACCCCTGTACCCAGCATAAAAGCATAAGTCGAAATGCTCATGCTATCATCTTGATCCTTACATAATAGTTGTCAGTAAACCCAATCAAATTTGACCTTTTACCCTTCTTGTAGAGCAGCCCAAAATCTTTAGTTCCTTGCAGGTAAGAAAAAAAATTTCTTGGCGGCTAAAAAATGCAGCTCTGTTGGATTCTCCATATATTTGCTAATTAGACTCACAAAGTGCATTATGTCAGGTTGTGTTGTAGTTGAATACATCAAATACCCACATTTTTCTTATAGAGTGTGTTGTCCACCTTCTTTCCTCCATGATCTTTGTGTAGCTTCAAGCCAAACTCAGTTGTAGTACTTACAAGATTACAATCCTTTAGCTGAAACCTGTCCAAAATTTCTCGCACATACTTCTTTTGAGAAATAAAAATTCCAGTTGTAGATTGCACCATTTCAATGCCAAGAAAATAATGCATCAAACTAAGATCAGACATTTCAAATTCAACCATCATGGACTTTTTAAACTTTTCAAATGCGACACTGTTATTGCTAGTAAATATAAGATCATCTACATATAAGTAGACAATGAGTATTTTCCCTCCATCACCAACTTTAGCAAAAAGTATGTGCTCATATGGGTATTTTGAAAACCTTCATAAGCTTCAATGCGACTATACCAAACCTGTGGGGCTTGTTTGAATCCATAAAGAGCTTTCTTTAATCAATACACTTTATGCTCATCTCTGATCTTAATGTAACCAGGAGGTTTATAAACAAATACCTATTTCTCCAAGTTTCCATGCAAGAATGCTGACTTAATATCCAATTAGAATATAGGCCATGAATTCTGTGCTACCATCGCAATTACCAATCTGATTGTATCATGCCTTGCAACCGAGGCAAAAACTTCTTTATAGTCGACTCCAAACTCTTGCTTGTATCCCTTAGCCACCAATCGCGCCTTATACTTGTCAATTTCACCATTTTCATTCAGTTTTGTCTTGTAAACCCACTTCATGCCAATGGTTTTGTGCCCTTTTAGAAGATCAAATAGCTCCCAAGCATCATTTCTTTCTAAGGCTACAATTTCATCATTCATCGTCTTCCGCCATTTTGATTCTTGGATAACACGTTTGAAAGTTGTAGGGTCACAATCTGAAAATAAAGCAAAATGAGTGATTGGATCATCATCAATGAGTTTATCTCCACTTACATAATCAATCATCCAAGCTGGTCTTTTCCTTGGACATTGATTCTTAGGTGGCTACTCATTTTTTGGTGAAAATCGCTAAAGAACAAGGCAAGTGTTCATCAAAAGACTGCTGTTGCGTTTCAGTCCTATTCTCTGCATCATCAAAAACAACTAGAATTTGTTGTAGTTCTTTGCCCTTTCCAATCTAATCCCACATCTTTTCTTCATCAAAAACCACATCTCAGCTGGTAATTACCTTCTCAGTAATCGGATTGAACAACTTGTACGCTTTGGAGTGTTTACTAACTCCAAAGAAGACACATTTTGCTCCTTTGTCATCAAATTTCTTGCTCTTCTCATCTGGGACATGCGCATAAGCTATGCATCCAAAAATTCTAAACTGATCTATAGCTGGTTTGCACTTGCTCCAAGCCTCCTCAAGTGTCATGTTTTGAACAAAAAAAAGTAGGACTTCTGTTTAACACATGAATGCTCCAATTTATTGTCTCAGACCAGAATCTTTTTGGAATATTTCCTCTTGCAGCAAGCTTCTCACCATGTTGAGGATGGTTCAATTTTTCCTCTCTTATACACCATTTTCTTGTGGTGTATAAGCAGTTGTGAGTCCCTTCGAATACCATGATCTTTACAATAACCTTCAAATTCTTTTGAGCAATATTCTCCACCATGATTAGTACATAGAGTTTTGATGGTTTACTAAAAGCTTCTGATTTCTCCTGCAAAAAATAAACCCAAGTTTTTCTAGTATAATCATCAATGAAGATAATAAAATATCTTTTACCCCTATTAGAAGATGGATTTATCGGCCCACAAATATCTGAATGAACCAACTCCAGGATAGTTTTGGCTCTCCACGAATTTCCTTGAGGGAAGTTATAGCAATCCCGGTTTTCCCTTATTTGTTTAACAGTATTCCGGACTTAGGTTCCATGGAGTTGGTTGTTGTAGATGTCTTGTTGTCATCCTTCAATTTCATGTATTTGAGTTTTAGGTTGTAATGGGCGTGTTTCGAACAGGTTGGTTGAGCCTTAGTCCTATTCCTTGTTGCCTAGATTTTTGGTGGTCCGCTCGAGCGGGTCCCTTTGCGCTCGAGCGGAGTTTACACACTTTCAGCATTTGGTGCCTCTGCAAAACTACTGCAGGGTTATTTTTTGCGCTCGAGCAGAATTCTTTACGCTCGAGTAGGTCACGCTCGAGCGGGTACCTTGGCACTCGAGCGGGTGTTCGATGTCTGTAAAAGTACTGGAGGAGTATAATCTACGCTCGAGTGGCTTTTCTTTCGCGCTCGAGCGGGTTCAGTTTTTGTGCTTAACGCTCGAGCGTCCTATTCTCCGCTCGAGCGAGTCATACGTATATCAGCAGACAGCAGCGAGTTTACACTTAACTTTTCATCTCTTTCTTTTTCAAAAACCCTAGTTCTGAGCTCTCTCTCTCTAAACAACTTCTCTCTAGGGATTGATCTACTTCTAATGAGTTTCTAGCCTAGGCTCTTTGTAAAAAGGATAGAGGGTGTTGAGGGCTTTCTTTTAATCTGAAAAATCTTGGATTTGGAGCACTTTGGATTTTGGGCATCTCCTCCATTTGAGCTCTTCATTTCGAGGTAGGAATATCCTACTTCATCTTATGAGTTTTGTCTTTAATTTTGGTCATTTTGATTAGTTAGTGATGTTGGGAGATTTTGGGAAAAGTTAGGGTTTGGTTGTAATTTTTAAAAGAGGGGTTTTGTGTTTTAAAGCTCAATGTATATTTAGAGCCTTGGAAATGTTGGCTTGAGAGTTAAAGTGGTGGAATTTGATCTTAGAATCATGATTTGAGAATAAGAGAATAATGCCCTAAATGTATTGTAATAAATTAATTGGTATAATTAATTTGGCAAAAGTATGGAATTGAGTTGAAATCTACGAAATTGGGGAATTATGGGGTTGAATGGTGTAGTTGGATTAATTAATCACTCACCCATTAAAATGTTGATATTGTAGCTGTTTAACGCCTTTATTTTTTGTTTAGAAATAACTGCTTTGGGCTATCGGTGGAGGATAATCTTGATTGTTGTAGACACTGTATGTTGATTAGGAAAAACTGTAACTAATCATATTGAATATGTCATTGAATATGACGGTTGGTTTAATACATCAAATATGTGTATTGGTTGATTTTGTATATGATAATTGTTTATATACAATGTTTGTGTGGGAGGAGATAGGGGATGTACTCCACGATTTAGGGGGAGATGGGGGATGGACTCCTAAACTGGATGTTATTTGGGAGGAGATAGGGGATGGACTCCATTGATACAGCAAATATGTGTATCTATTGAAGTGTTGATACAACAAATATGTGTATCTATTGAAGTGTTGATACAGCAAATATGTGTATCTGTTGAAGTGTTGATACAGCAAATATGTGTATCTATCATGAATTAAGGAAGTGTATTGATATGAGTGTTATCTCATTGGAGATAAATTGTGAATAAGGGAAATGTTTTAATTTGAGATGTAATCTCACTTAGATTATTTGGCCAGGTTCTGAGCCAGGTATATGAGATAATTTGGATAAGTAAAGGAAAGTGGAACGTAACATGGACAGAATTGTCATGGAACTGTGTTGTGATGAAATTGGATTATAAGTGTTAACCATCTATCAAATGCTATTGTTTTAGTCATTGCTTATATTTGGTTTAGTATATCTCTACTGGGCTGTGGTTCACCCTATATGGGACATCATTTTCAGGTCCAGGTGATATGCCACCTTTAAGGACATAGCTTGAGAGGTTCTGGAGTTGAAGGCTCTCTTTGTTGTTTTGTTATCTTTTGATGTATTACATGTAAATTCGAGCCAAGGGCTTAATATGTATTTGAGTTAGTACTCTCTTTTGTTACCAAGTGTTGGCTTGGAAAGTTGTAAGCCCGTAGGGCGTTTACTTTTGTCGTCAACATGTAATACTTTTGTATCTAACTACTCTGATGAAAGGAAAGATGTTTATTTCTTTTATATCTATGCGTGTCATGATTGTTGGGTTTTATGTATTATTTTGAGGGCGTTACAATGGAGAACGATGTTGTTTGCCAACTTGAGAAAGAGTGGCAATTTGAGGGAGGCCAGTAACCATATCTTTCTGTTGAAGAGTCTTTAATTCGCCAAAATTCAAGTGGCCATAGCGAAAATGCCAAAGCCGTAAGGGGTCTTTTACTTTAGCCATTAAACAAGGTTGAGTTGTTGTTATCTTTAAAGGAAACAATCTATTTGAACTCATCTGAACAATAGTAATTGCTCCTCTTGAAGGATCATAAATCTCACAAGCACCATTTTTTAATAGTTATCACATAACCCTTTTCTTGCAACTGACTAGCACTTAACAAATTACTTTTCAAGTCAGGTACATAAAAACATTGGAAATTGTTTCTACAAAACCATTCTTGGTTCTAATATTAACATCACCTTTTCCCATTACTTTCACAGTAGAACAATCACTAAAACTGACAGTAGAATGAACGCCTTCATTTAAATAAAAGAAAAAAGACTTATTTCCACACATGTGGTTGTTGTAGCCCGTATCCACATACCAAACATCTGACACGAGTTTCGCACTGACATGAAAAGCCATTAACAGAGTTTCTACTTCCTTGTTTTCAGCAAAATTTGATTTCTTAAACTTATCTTTGTCGTTGGAGAGTTTAGTATAGCATTTAGACCGGTAATGACCAAATTTATGGCATCTGTAGCACTTGATCTTGGATTTGTCAACTTGTTGATCGCGTCCTCTATAATTCGAGTGCCCTTCATCACCTATAAAAATCTGATGTTGCCGGCTTCCATCTCTATTGCCACTACAAGAAATTACTTTTTTCGCAACGCAACAAAATATGTTGCAAAAAGGGAAAACTCATCAGCAAAAAGTTTCACCCACACACGAAGCTACATCAGCAACCCGTAGGTAAAAGTGAGTCGGCAAAACTTTTTGCCGACGAAATTATCATTGTGTTGGTAAAAGTAATGCCTTTAGTGACAAACATAGTCGTCGGTAAAAGCCTTCATCCATCGTCGGCAATTTACCTTGCGTTGATAAAACTAGTTCAAATATGATGATTGTGTGGCACTTTTCCCAGCACAAATTTGCGTCGGCAAAAAATATACTTTTAGCAACACAATATGAGTCGGCCAAAGTAAACTTTTGGCGACACATTTATGTCAGTAAATGTTGCCATTTGCTAACGATTTGTTTGTCAAGAAAGCTTTACTTTTGGTAATGACAAATTTGCATTGGCAAAAAATACACTTCTAACAACACAATATGAGTCGGCAAAAGTAAACTTTTGGCAACACATTTGCTGACAAGTTGTTTGTCGAGAAAACTTTACTTTTTGGCAACGATAAATTTGCATTGGCAAAAATAATTAAAAATCATTTATATTTTTTTATAAGATTTACAGATTTACAAGAGTCATCCCTCAGGCACAATAGACCTATTAACAACAAAGGAGAAGAAAACAAAAGCTAAATAAGGCACCAGAGCTAACGATAAAGAGGGTGTTTGTTTGGGCTTTTCTGAGCCAACTTATAGCTTCTGGCTTTTGAAAAGCTATTTTGGACTGTTTGGTTAAACTTATTTCAAACAGTTTCTGATTCTAACAACTTATTTTAAGTCAAAAAAGCTGATTTTAAGAAGCTGCTCTCCCCTTACTTCTAATTATTAGTTTCTGCTGTGGACATGTTAATTTACGGTAATACTCTTAGATTTTTTTATTTTTTATTTTTTTTAAAATAGAAAAAGACCCAAATGGACTATAGAATATTATTATTATTTTTTATGAGAAATGTAGCTAAGTAGTGAATAATAAAAAATAAAAGTTAATTGAAAAAGCTACTCCACAGCTTATTTAACAAACACTACTTAGCAGCTTAAATCTATAATCCAATAGCTACATCAAACAAATTAACATCTTTTAATTAAAGTCATAATCTATAACCTGTTAAGCTATAATCTATAATCTGTTTTAACAGCTGCACCAAACAGGGCCAAAATATACAAGCTTACAATGGGCATTCCCCAGGCCTTACATCACCAACAACATAAATAAAACAAACAAAACCCAAACACTACACAAAACTAACCAAGGAACCTAACAAAATACAAATATAAAGATCATTGTCCAGCCCACAAAGGAGCAACAAAAATAAAATAAATGATTAAAACTTGCTGAAGCAAAGGATTGACCAATATAGAACTAGAATCCCATCAACAGCTGTAGCCATAGCCTTAACTACATTGCAGCAGTTGGATCCCGGCTCTTACCAAAACAGAGCCAGGGACAAAACCATTGCAGCAACAACATTGCAGCAGACCAGCATCTAGTAGTAGCTGCCTCACAGCAACATTGCTGCAGCAGCAGCAGCCCAACAAGCATCAGCCAAGTGTTATACACACAAGGTTGTCCCCATGAATGTTGATCATAAATTATGGTACTGATGTATTTTACCAAGAATGTGCTTTCAACCATATTTTTCTTGTAGGAGCGCCTGCTTCATAATTGGCAAAGTAATTCCTACTACCTGTCATTGAAGAATGTGTTACATTGAGTGTAGTTACCCATTGTATATCTGACAGATGGCCAAGAAACACTAAACAGTAAGCTGCCTTCAATGAAACCATGAAAGTCATTGGGTAAATTATGAAATAGCAAACCAGTGGCCAAGAAACACAAAACAGTCAAACTGTCTTCAATGAAAACAACGCAATCATTTTGGAGAAAAGAAAGACAAGAAGATGAGAGCACACATACACATTACTCATATTAAAGGAACTCATACTAATAAAATGTAAGTGATGTATGACCTTTATGTCCATTTGAAACGCGGTTATACCATCTTCATTTCCAGTAACCTGCACCATTAAAATCACTAATCTAATTATTTACCATGCCTTCAGATTCTGTAGTATGGCATACTTGTGTAGCTCCTCGAGATTTTTTCACATGTAACAAGAAAATTAAATTGAAAACCAACTGAACACATTGTAATGGTAAATATAAAAGAAATTCAAAAGGCAATACCTTAAAATCCATGTCCCCAGATGCATCTTCAGATCTAGTTATGTCAGAAAGAATAAGTGGGGTTCTATCCCACTCAAATTCCTTAGTGTCCAAAACCAAACCCGTTGCTATACCAGCAATAGAGCACTTCACTGGGACACCAGCATCTTGCAAGGCTAAGCATCCACCACAAACAGAGGCCATACTGACACACAATACTACTTGATGTTAAGATGTAAAAAATCAAAACTAAATGGCTTGATAGAAGTTATTAAGAAAATAATATTGTGATCCGAAAGATAACAATGATGATGAGCATTCTTTCCCACTTTTTAAGGTATTCAAGAACAAATTCTTAAAAGATTAACAACAAAATGTTGTGAGGCTAAGCCTCTCCGACAAACAGAGAGTTGTACCACTACACAATAATACTCAATGTTAAGATGCAAATTGTTTTGTTGGGCGGATTTGGAGTGGGTGGCTCCTTCCTTTAGGATATAGATGTTGATGAACTTTAGGGGATTCGAACCTAATAAGAAAGGACGAGCTCTTTGGGTTTGTACTAGTTTTGTTATATTTTGAAAATTTTGTTGGAATGGAAAGCAAGGATTTTATGAAATAGTTAGAGATTTAGAGGAATTATGGGAGAAGATTTGACATTTATCTTCCTTTTGGGCTTCAATATTGTTTCTTTTTAATAGGATTCCTCTCTTCTTGATTAATAGGGATTGGAGGGCTGTGTGTGAGTTGTAATTTGTAATTTGTTTTACTTTCTTTTTGTAATTTGTTATAAATTGTTACTTTTGTTGCTTATCTAAAACAAAAAGATAGAAAGAAAAAGTACTGCATGCAGAAAAAATAAACAATAGGTAAATGATGAACATGCTTTAAGTTTTGCATTATGTTCATGAACATAAAATTAATGGAAATCCTTTTCCTTTGTATTCATTAAAGATAACCTCCTCACCTCGAAGAGCCATTGCTTTCAGTGATGGTACTCTCAACACGTATAATGTAAGGGAAATCGTCTTCAGAAGGAAAAATAGGTTCAAGAGCTCTCTTTGCAAGCATTCCATGACCAACTTCTCTTCTACTGGGTGCTCCCATTTGCCCAACTTCCCCAACACATGATGGAGGAAATGTGTACCGAAAAATTAAACCTGAGTAGCTCAAGCAGTTAGGTACTTTTTGAAAGCTTCCAGAAATAAGCTAAAATATCAAAGTTGTAAATAAGATATGGATCTATAGTTAGAAAAGTCATGAAATAAGGAATCAGATTATCTGAATAGTTTCCAATCAAGTTATTGCAATTCACTCACTCATAAAAATGACAAATACACTCAGATGAGAGTGTAAAGAATGGTATCACTGTACAGGGCTAGATTGGTAACACACTTGCAAGTGTACTTGTAAATCTAGTTGGTAAGCATACCATAAAAACTGACAATGAAGCACATAAAATACTTGTCCTGCAAACAGCCAAAACAGGGTTGCAGTCCCAACACTCCCTAAGAAATCAAAGCTCAAATTACAAGTATACTAATGTTTCTATTTAGGGGTGGACATTTTTTGTTGAGCCTTTTTGTGTTTGTTATCCAACCTAATTTATGCCCAAAAAAAAAAAAAAATGCGTTTCATATATGGAAACAGGAAATTCAGTAGTTCAAATTTATAAATAAGGCTCTTGAAGCGTGGGTACTTCAACAAACATGTTCTACCCATACCAAGTACTGGTACTTTGCATGGTTGATTCAGAACATGTGTGCACACATGGAGATTTTTATTTACTATTTTAAAATTTTATGTCATTAGTATTTTATTTGTCTTTCTAATTTTAATTAGGAGTTTTAAAAGGGATATTAGTGATAGATCCCTTGCAATAAAGTTTTCATGCGTAAAGGACATGAGTGATTAAATAAGATAGCACTTTTGGGATCAACAGAAGAAGAAGAACAAAATGATGAAAGAAGAGACCAAGAAGCATCTAAACATCTATGCTTTCACCTTTGCAAGGATTAACCACCATCACATAAACACAAATTCAAAGTTCTCACAACTCATCTTTATCCATCAGATAACTATTTATAGGCTGTTACAATTACCTAAACCCACTAGGCTAAGACCACAAAAGTTAGAAACTTTTGCTCTGTAACAACTAAGATTATCCTAAGCCTAGTAAAAACATACAATAACCCAATCAGATGACCTAGAATAAGCCATGGACCCATTCTACAATCTATGTCCAACAAATCTTGTAATTACCAACATTTCCTTAGCCTAAACCCTAAACCCTAGTTCAAATTATGCTCCATGTGAAATTTTAAATTTTCCCCTTAACTTGAAATCATGCTCTTTATTAGTCTGCGAGAAACAATCCCATGGCCCAATCTGAACTGGATGCAGCAGGCTTTTTGAAGGGCAAGGGTATCCATCCAATAGCACATGATCCATTACCCCTACTCCTAACTCACCAAACATTCTAGTTATGCAAATCGAAGTCAACATAGATGACTACTGTTTCAACTCAGAATATCATTTTGTAGATTCTCCTAGCCAAAATTTGTCCAACAGTGCCAAAATATAGCATCGGCATTACAATTAATTAATCCTAAGTTATATAGCCTTGCAACCATTTCCACACAAATAAATTCTGAAAGGGGTAGAATTAGTTGCTGAACGAGAAGGCACTGTTATGATGTTATGATAATATAGAAAGTTCACAAAATAAGTGTACTTAAATAATCGCAAATTCACCCAAAAAATTATTACCAAGCATAATATATTAGTAAGCACATAATTGCAAGAACCTGAAGATAAAATCTCTTAAATTCATCTGCACCTTCAAGGTTGTCTATTCTTTGTGCCATTTGTTTATCCCCAAGTGTAACAACTGCAAGTGACTGGAAAACAGAAAATTCGGAAAAACAGAAGTACAGAAATGGTCAATAACATTTCATATGCATTCAAACTGAACTTCTGGACATTAAACTGAATACACAGGCTTAAAACCAAAACAAAACAGGAGATCAGCCACACAAGTGTTTTTGGGTCAATTATTTCTCTTTTAATCATTATCCCTAGTGAACTCATATCTGGGTGCTGTCCTTTTGCGTATTACTAAAACAAGCAAAGAGGTAGACATCCAAACTGTTGACACCCAGCATCATTACAGTTGTTGTCCAAATGAAAATAGACATAACTAAGACATTCCACAAATATACACAAAGATCTATGACAGTAGTTATGATTGATCACCAAGAGATAATTAAAGAAAAACCTTGAGAGTTGCAATGTAGTTATTATGGAGGGAAGGAAACCAAGTGACTCCCATGGGACTAAAGTTAATCCATAAGCTTATCATGTGGCATTGAAACAGTTTAGTGACAAACACAGTAGTGAATGCTTGAAATTGAACATACAAGTACTACAGACTAGTTTAATAGATTAAAACATTGGGCAATCAAGAACGATCACAAGATTGGAGGAAGGAAACCATCAAAGGATGCTGAAGTGTATGGTTGGGAACCAAGGTAAAAGAAAAATCCAATGGAAGCCCGAAAAAGATACTGAAATAACCCAGGTATGAAAATAGAGTCACTTTAGATAGTCTAAGCCAAATGATATTTGCAATTGAAGTGAAGCAATTAAGAATGCATGCTCAAATATTTTCAAGGAAAATATGATAGAGAGATCACTAGCTGATTATGAAAAGAGGTGAAAGGCATATGTTTTATACAGTAAATTACACTTTAACAAACCTGAGTTTCCCCACGCGTGAAAAGAGCACTTCCATGTGCTCTAGGAAGTAATCCACACTGTGAGTTAATCAAGCGTATATCAAATGGGGTTCGCCCATCACTTCTTTTGCCTCCCTGAACAACCACAACAGAAATAAAATATAAGAATCACCATGCTTACATCATCATATCATTAAGGTTTTTTCTGGCAGATGGACCTCAAAACCAAGAAATCCACCCATGTAATTAGGCATATCTTTGCTAACTAACCTTGATGATTAATCAAGCTATGCAGTTGCATATAATAAATCAGGAATCTTAATTAGGCTTGCAGAAAGTTATGACTGTAAGAAATTTTATTAGTCAACTGTTCAGAAGTGAGGAACCCACATACACAACACTCTCTCATACATTTTAATACCGAAATACAGAGACTGAATCCTAGCAGTTAACAAGGAAACTTTCCTGTTAAATCCACAAAGTATAGGAACACTTGCATATGCTTAACAGTGAGATTTAAAAAGTAAGGAAGTATCACTGAATGGCATTTGAGGACCATAAATAACTGAGAACGATATTTTTTCAAAATCATAAACATATGTGTATATAGAGATGTGATATAACTATTTCCCAATTAATGAACATCCATACCTCCACAATACGTTTGCGCAGGAATTTAGATGTAACTTCTTTGAACACCAGCTTGGTGGTACTTACAAAACATAATTGTTTACAAAATCATTGTCAAATAATATCTAAAAGCTAAACAAGTATATCCATGGGTGTCATTTTAAACAAATAGAGTTCAGAAATTAATCCACGTAATTGAAACATTAACGTAACCATAAAACATAAATTATATAAAATAAATTGTGGTAACTCAAAACATGCACAAAATATATCACGATAATTCAAGGTATAATATAACTCACTCTGCTATGTGCTTATAGCTGTTACTCCTTTCAAGTGACAAGGTTTAGCGAGATTAAAATGGGAAATGAATTACTGTGTTGTTTTTTTTTCTTTTCTATTTTTTTTTGGGGGGAGGGGACTCTTGTAATACAATAAAGCCCAAATGACTATGTTCGTTTCCTTTTAATAAACATTTGGTACCCAATTATTTTATTTTTATCTTGTTGCGACACCGAGCCTTTAGGTACCGGGTTTGGTTCGTAACAAAAGTGGTATATTGTGAGTATAGGGGCACGAAAGAGCCATGGATAGTTATTTAAGTTAAAACATTAACATAATTTAAGTTGCATAAATAAATTATTTAGGTGGCAGAAACTGAAATAAAAATTTCGTAAATAGCTATAACCACAGTACAGAACAGAACATAACAGAACAAAGGCCATTGGAGTGACAATTAGAACATGAGTCAATGGATTCATGACAAACAGAGGACCACAAACAAAGTGGCCAAACAGAGGCCGATGATTATTTAAATCCCCAAGGTATGGGACTCCCGTGGTGGTACTTACAAAACATAATTGTTTACAAAATCATTGTCAAATAATATCTAAAAGCTAAACAAGTATATCCATGGGTGTCATTTTAAACAAATAGAGTTCAGAAATTAATCCACGTAATTGAAATATTAATATAATTTATAAAATGTAACTTGTCTAAAATAAGTTACGGTAAGTCAAAATATACGTAAAATATATTATGGTGACTTAAGGTATAATATAACTCACCTTAAAATTAATACCTTACTCTTTCTTTCTATTAGTAAAGCCTTCTTGACAGTGTTTTCATCCCCTTCCCCAATTTATTTTCCTTCTCCTTATTCACAGCCCCTCACCTCCTTATATACTACGGTGTAACATTTGCTCAACAAGTTTTCGGGTGACACGTAGCACCCCACGTAGCCGTCTTATATCACAGCTATTATTATACTCTAGATTTGAAGCTTATCCTTTCAATGGATAAGTTAGATAATTGCTTAATTATACTTGGACCCAAATCTTAAACTAATTATATGCTCTCTTTTTTTTTTTCATTTTTTTTTCAATAATATATAATCCCTAATTTAATTACACTTTATCTCATACACTCATAACATTTAATGTTTTATTTTATTTTTACGGAATATTTAATTAAATATCTAGGATTTTTTTTCATTTATATAAAATTTAAGAGATAACATAAATTTTCGGATTGTTACACAATGAACGTAGAATCTTCTCAACAATAGCCACATCTTCCATCATATTTGCTATCCCCATAGTCCTTGCACAATAGCTAATAATTGACTCACCATCTTTCATCTGTAGAGTCTCAAAATCACTTCTCAAGGCTTAAAGCTGTGCACGCTTCACTATTAAAAAGCCTTGATATTTTTTCTTCATTGAATCCCAAATATCCTTGGAAGTTTATTTGCTAAGAATTGTTTCCAGGAGAGATCGATCAATGGCCTAAAATAAGTAATTCTTTACCTTTAAATCTTTAAACTTCAGGCCTTCTAGCTCTGTTTTTTGTGCATCTGTGAGTGATACGCCAGCTGCAGGTGCTGTTACACCAAATTCAATGACTTGCCAGCACTCTTTAGACCTCAAGAAGTTCTTTATCAGCATGCTTCAATGGCCATAGTGACCATCGAAGCGAGGGATTGCTGCCTGCACAAAATTAGTCTCTGTAGCCATCATTTCCCGTAAAACAATCAGAGGAGATAAAACAGCTGCTGCTATTTTGGACTATTTTGGGGATTGTTTTGATGACTCTCATAGTTTTGGGAACTCTCTCTTGCTTTCTCACAAACTAAACCTTGCTATGATACCACTGTTACAAGCAGTAAAGATGAAGAAAAGCTGAGACTTAAGGATTTGATTTTATTCATCAAATAGGACTGCCTTTATATAGGCTTATACAAAACAGAAGATACCATAAAAGTAGGCACTACTTAGCACTAATAGTGTGAAAGTAGGCATTGCACAACATTACTCAAATGTGCAAAACAAACTCCTATAGACTAGGTAAATAAAAACAACCTGTAGAACAATACTCCATTATTAACTAAATCCTAAAAACTAGGACAACCAATTCCTACAGACTAAGACAGCTTTGACTGACTCAAAACAGAGAAAATAAACATGCAACTCTAAATTATTCAACAAAGGGATCATCGAGTGTAGGGATTAGGGTTTGATGTCTTGAATGAGGCAATGGAAATATCTTTACTAGCATTGGTGGAAGGGAACTACCTTTTTGCTAGCAACTCTCAACCAAGAAAGAGAATCACCATAGATGGACACAGTTGGGCAGTTAAAAATCAGTTGAAACTTGAAAAGACTTCTTTGTTTTCCAATAACGTCATCAGAATAAAGGGCCTAAATTATAATCAATTTGTTTGGTTTCTATTTTCTAAATTTAATTTTTTGAAAATTGAGTTCTTTTATTTTTTGTATTTTTTTATTTTTAGTGAATATTTTTCAAATTTTAAGATGCACCTTACTTAGATGTATCTAAAAAGTAAAATATTTGTAAAAAAATATTTTAAAAAATCAATAAATACACAAGAATACGAAAAATGTACTAATTTTTTTGTATTTTTGGTATTTAATGAATTTTTTAAAGATTTTTTTCACAAATATTATATTTTTTAAGTGTATTTACATTAGGTGTATCTAAAAAATTTAAAAAATTACTTAAAATATTAAAAATATTCAGGAAAAACAAAAAAATACAAAAAATAAAAAAATTTAATTTTTTGAAAAGTGAATCCTGAAAATCATAACTAAACAGAGTGATTTTTAACTTTCACTATTTCATCCTCTTTGACTTTGTTTTAAATAAATGAAACTTACATTTTGGTAATGATATCAACAGATCTCTATCCCAAGATAATGGAAGCAATCTGGTATAACTCAGGAATTTGAAACTAATGAGATCAATATTTTTTATGAACAAAACTTTTGAGAAGAATTTCATAAGATGAAACGAACAAGGCAATCTTTAAATAAGAGGGAAATGATAGTCATCATTTCTTGAAATTAAGAATGAAAAACAATTTAGTTCATTACATAGTTTGTTTGGGAAATAAAAAAAATGGACCAGGTCCACTTTCATTAAGTTCTCTAAATTTGTGAAAACCAACCTCAAAACCAACCTCCATCTTGGCTTGATTTTAAGCAGGATTTGGGAACTTTTATCAAATAAAGGTTGGCCTGTCTACTTCTGAAATGTATTTATCAAACTCTTTAAAATATTGTGTCGGAATTATGAATTTGGGTAAAGATTTGAAAAAATAATGGCAAATGAAAATGTGAGAAAAAAAAAATTAACTTATATTTTATTTACATTTCACTCACCGTTTTCTTTCTCTATCCAAATCCCCTACTAAATCTATGATTTAGACGTGCAAGGCTGTGTTTAAATCATGAATTTAGGTAGAAATTTGGAAAGCAAAATGAAAAGATAAGTGAAATGTTAAACCCTAAACTTTAAGAGCCGTATTTGAATAATGAATTTGAGTTGGAATTTGAATTTTTAAACATTTTCCTTTTTCCTTTCCAAAACCTAGTCAAATCGATAATCCAAACAAGGTTGCAACGTGAAATCCTTTCAGCATAATATATCTATGAATTCACATTTTAACTATTCAATGTTTTGGTGTACATAAGTTATAGTAGCAAACGTATTCTCAGCTTGACATTTTAACAAACACCTCACACACACACAATGAGGTGAGTATTCTTGGGCTGTGAGAGAGAGAGAGAGAGAGAGAGAGAGGGGCGGGCATTGGATTTGTCATGTTTTCCTGATTGGCCAAGGCCCAATTTTCAGGCCCAATTTATCTGGACCTTAAATATATGGGTTGGACATATGAGCTGGCCGATACACCCATGTCGGAAGTTCATACTAACCTCATGTATATCTATTAAATAATAGATATAATCTCTCTCTCTCTTACTTTTATTTTTATTTTTTGTGTACATATACAGTTTTAGTAAAATAATGAAATTAAAATAGATAAAAATAAATGAGTAGCAGAGTACTAGCACTCCAACTGTGAAAATAGTGACTATATTTTTATGAAATTAAAGATGCATTGAATTTAATAACATAATCATAATGAATGTAATTATGTATTTTAAGAAATAAAGTTTATTTTTTGTTTTTCTTGATTCAATATTCTACTCTAACTATTGTAATGCACTTTAAGATTTTGAGTTATAAGTTTTAATTTTTTCGTAATTATTTTCTGAATTTAATAAGAAAGCTCAAATTAAAACCGAAATTAGGCTCATATGGCCAAGTCCAACTTGAAGCCATGGGCTTAGGCCTTGAATTTTTGGTTCGGACGAGCCCATTGCCGAGGTTTAAGTTCACTTCTTTGGCTATTTTTTTTTTTGAATTATTTTTAAATTTTTATAATTTTTTTAAAAATTTTGAATAAATTATTTTATTTTATTCTTGTTTAAATGATTCTATTTTTATTTTTTTAAAAACAAAAGATAAATAAGTCAAACTAAAAAAAAGGACAAAAAATAAAGAATTGATCGTCAAAGAATTTACTAATTAACCAAAGGAAGATATATGTAACGTTTGATATTTTTCAGTTTTACTGTTTCCTAGGGGCTGCTAAAATAGGTTTTTTTAATTTACAAAAAGAGCATTTTTGTCAATTTTTGGAATTTGTGTGGAGAAAAATGAAAAGGAAAATTGTGTTCTCTTCTCTATCACTTCTAGAGACATGGGTGTCCTGATATACCAACCAGTTGGAGATGATGCTTGTCAAATGGACACTTCTGGTTGAAAGGAACATTACTTTATTGCTAGTAGAGCTCCAGGTCATGTTTACTCATTAGAAGTTATTTGTGTTGATAATGAAGTTATTTATTCATATAGAAAGTTTCATTATTCAAATTTTGTAATGACTAGTAAATACATGGAAAGATTAAAATTGGCAGTGCTTTTTAAATGAATGTGCAGGAAGGGATGAAAAACTCTGTAGTTGATATTCTGAGTGTACAGACTAGTGCAGTGACCTTTTATCCTAGTAACCTCAACCCTTGAAACTCTTGACATGAAAAGATGATGATTCAATGTGAACACCAAGATGTTCTGGTAAAATGTGAAGGAAAAAGGCCCTTTCCAAATATCAGGGGCATAGTCGTTAAAGGTGCTAAGGTCTTCTAAAGCCTAAGCACAAGGTGTAGCATAATGTACACGCCTTAGTGAAGTGAGCTGCATGCGTGATTAATTTTAAACTAAAAGAAATTTGAAATATGTAGCATTTCTAAGAAAAATGTGAATTTTTTGACATATCTTTTTTTTTTTGGTTGATAAATAATCAAACTTTTTTAAAAAAGCATCATGATGATGCAAAGAATACAAAAAAATAGCACACCCACAAAGGGCCCAACAAACTAAAGTTGTGAATTTTTTGACATATCAACTAAAGATATCTATTTCTAGTCATGTATAAGCTCATGAAACAAGAGTACAAAATATTGAAATTTATTAATAATACTCTCTCAATAAGATCGTGGATATGATACAAGACACATCGATTTGTGACCCTTGAAAAATTAAAAGATAAAAATGAAGATATGACTATCTATTTTCCTTTCAATTTTTTTAAAATGCATTTTTAACATATATTTCTGTCCTATATTCCTAAATCCTATGATATAATTCCATGAAATGTAGGCTGATCTTTTAAAAGTGGACCGAAAGAGGACACCTTGGCTACTTGTTTTATTCCATGTTCCATGGTATAACAGTAACAAGGCTCACCGAGGTGAAGGGGACCGTATGATGCAAGCCATGGAACCATTGCTATATGCTGCCGGTGTAGATATTGTTCTTGCTGGCCACGTACATGCTTATGAACGCTCGGTATGTTTATGCTGGTTTAATTTTTCTCAGGGTTTTTAATTGATACCACTTTGACTTATTTATATGGCCATCTTTTCAACAGAAACGTGTCTATGGTGGAAGATCAGATTCTTGTGGTGCTGTCCACGTAACAGTTGGTGATGGAGGCAACAGAGAAGGTTTAGCCAGCAAGTATGTTCTTCATTGTTTAAAGGCCTTTTAATAGTCATATTAAAAAACAAAATAAAAGATAAATAAAAGTTTGAATTTCCCCCCTGCACTAGTTCAATATTTAGCACCATTCTTTGATTTGGATTTCACCCCAGCAATTATTTAGCTTGAAATAATTTGTTTTAAAATTTGATTGCCCTTACCGCATCATATCAACTTTAATTATATATAATTTATGAGGAGATTCAGCTTTCTAATGCTAATGCCTTACCCTTCATAAACATATTAGTTTTGTGAATTTGGGAGCCCAACTCTTTCCATTATTTTCATACGAGTTGTGCTACAGTTGAATAAAAATAAGAAGGAAAATGTTGTACAAATTAACAAGTCTTACAAACTTTTCTCTTGAACTGATGTGCTTTGCAATAATGAAACTTTGGAAAACTAAAACAAATCGCGCTTCAGTGATATGATAGGTGCCACATCAGTAAATAAGAAAAGTTTGTAAGATTTGTCAGCTTGTATAACTTTACTCAAATAAGAAAGTGCTCTATTTAGTGAGATCAGGCTATTTTACTGCTTTAGTAGCTTAATTAATTTGCTAATTAGTTAAGGGTTTTGTAATATTTAATTAGCTAGGGTAGTTAATTATTTATTCGGTTTGTATTATTATTCGGACCCTCCGAGCGAGGGCAATTGTGTAATAAGTGTGCCTGCGTGTGTGCGTGTCTTCCAATCCCACGTCTTTCTCCCTTTTACTTACTAGCTTACGATGGTTAGATTAGGGCATGTTTCAATTAGCATACTTATGCTCACATGTTTGCATCCATTCATTTGTCTTGCATGGACCGGGCTTGGCGCATCATACTAACTACATCGTATTTCAATTTCAAGTTGAATACGTGTTAGCTGTAGCATCATCACATGCCATCTTAGAATAACTGAGCCTAGCTTAGTTGCATCTTGCATGTGTTGCATTAGCCATCTTAACATGAACTAGGATCATGCATATGATTACTAGCATGTTTCTGTTTTGGCTCGGAGTACTCGGTAAGCGTTTATGCTTTAGCATCCTTGCATGTGTGTGAGTGACTGCCATGATAGCATGCTTACCATGAGGCTATGTGCTTATGTGATATAACTGCCTAGTTGCTTGTGGGTGAAGGTTGGATTGCTTGAATTGGAATAATTCATTGAAATCCGTATTTTAGCCTACTTGCGAGTAGCGAACCTCGAACTATTTTCCAAGCAAACGGATATGAAATGCTTTGTTCCAAATTAGGCGATCTAGTCTATACTTGTGTGTTGTGCGCATCATATAGTAATTCTAGCTAATTAATCGGAATAAAAACGCATGTGTCTTCAAAAACGAGATATCATATTTAGTACTGGCCGATCTTTGATCGGGTGGGCGGGGGTCCTCATAGCTGACCTTCCCCAATCGTACCCAAGTTCCCGAGCTGAGGCAACTTTGGTGATGACGGACACGTGGCCTTAGGCACGAGTCAGGGTTTCCTAAATTCCCCTAAAATAAAATATTTAGGTGGCGACTCTGTATCTGGCAAAGCAGTCAATGTTTAGCACTTCTTTACAAAAATCAGTTTTCCAAAATGATTTGCCGGATTTGGACTCTTTGGTGATTTATCAATCTCACATTGCACATTGTGAAATCAGATTAAGAATCGTGACATTTGAGTCCGAACTGTAGTAAGCAAAGCCCCTCGGGCGCGTCTACAATCACCATAGATGAACACGGTTGGGTAGTTAACAATCAGTTGAAACTTGAAAAGACTTCTTTGTTTTCCAATAACGTCATTAGAATAAAGGACCTAAATTACAATCAATTTGTTTGGTTTCTATTTTCTAAATTTAATTTTTTGAAAATTGAATTCTTTTATTTTTTGTATTTTTTATTTTTAGTGAATACTTTTTAAATTTTAAGATGCACCTTACTTAGATGTATCTAAAAAGTAAATTATTTGTAAAAAAATATTTTAAAAAATCAATAAATACACAAGAATACGAAAAATATACTAATTTTTTTGTATTTTTGATATTTAATGAATTTTTTAAAGATTTTTTTCACAAATATTATATTTTTTAAGTGTATTTACATTAGGTGTATCTAAAAATTTTAAAAATTACTTAAAATATTAAAAATATTTAGTAAAAACAAAAAAATACAAAAAAAAAAAAAATTAAATTTTTTGAAAGGTGAATCCTAAAAATCATAACTAAAGAGAGTGATTTTTAACTTTCACTATTTCATCCTCTTTGACTTTGTTTTAAATAAATGAAACTTACATTTTGGTAATGATATCAACAGATCTCTATCCCAAGATTATAGAAGCAATCTGGTATAACTCAGGAATTTGAAACTAATGAGATCAATATTTTTTATGAACAAAACTTTTGAGAATAATTTCATAAGATGAAACGAACAAGACAATCTTTAAATAAGAGGGAAATGATAGTCATCATTTCTTGAAATTAAGAATGAAAAACAATTTAGTTCATTACATAGTTTGTTTGGGAAATCAAAAAAATGGACCAGGTCCACTTTCATTAAGTTCTCTAAATTTGTGAAAACCAACCTCCATCTTGGCTTGATTTTAAGCAGGATATGGGAACTTTTATCAAATAAAGGTTGGCGTGTCTACTTCTGAAATGTATTTATCAAACTCTTTAAATTATTGTGTCGGAATTATGAATTTGGGTAAAGATTTGAAAAAATAATGGTAAATGAAAATGCGAGAAAAAAAAAAAAATTAACTTATATTTCATTTACATTTCACTCGCCGTTTTCTTTCTCTATCCAAATCCTCTACTAAATCTATAATTTAGACGTGCAAGGTTGTGTTTAAATCATGAATTTAGGTAGAAATTTGGAAAGCAAAATGAAAAGATAAGTGAAATGTTGAACCCTAAACTTTAAGAGCCGTATTTGAATAATGAATTTGAGTTGGAATTTAAATTTTTAAACATTTTCCTTTTTCCTTTCCAAAGCCTAGTCAAATCGATAATCCAAACAAGGTTGCAACGTGAAATCCCTTCAGCATAATATATCTATGAATTCACATTTTAACTATTCAATGTTTTGGTGTACATAAGTTATAATAGCAAACGTATTCTCAGCTTGACATTTTAACAAACACCTCACACACACAATGAGGTGAGTATTCTTGGGCTTAGAGAGAGAGAGAGAGAGAGAGAGAGAAAAGGGGGCGGGCATTGGATTTGTCATGTTTTCCTGATTGGCCAAGGCCCAATTTTCAGGCCCACTTTATGTGGGCCTTGAATATATGGGTTGGACTTATGAGCTGGCCGATACACCCATGTCGGAAGGTCATACTAACCTCATATATATCTATTAAATAATAGATATAATCTCTCTCTCTCTCTCTTACTTTTTATTTTTTATTTTTTGTGTACATATACAATTTTAGTAAAATAATGAAATTAAAATTGATAAAAATAAATGAGTAGCAGAGTACTAACACTCCAACTGTGAAAGTAGTGACTATATTTTTATGAAATTAAAGATGCATTGAATTTAATAACATAATCATAATGAATGTAATTATGTATTTTAAGAAATAAAGTTTATTTTTTGTTTTTCTTGATTCAATATTCTACTCTAATTATTGTAATGCACTTTAAGATTTTGAGTTATAAGTTTTAATTTTTTCGTAATTATTTTTTGAATTTAATAAGAAAGCTTAAATTAAAACCGAAATTAGGCTCATATGGCCAAGTCCAACTTGAAGCCATGGGCTTAGGCCTTGAATTTTTGGTTCGGACGAGCCCATTGCCGAGGTTTAAGTTCACTTCTTTGGCTATTTTTTTTTGAATTATTTTTAAATTTTTATAATTTTTTAAAAATCTTGAATAAATTATTTTATTTTATTCTTGTTTAAATGATTCTATTTTTATTTTTTTTAAAACAAAAGATGAATAAGTCAAACTGAAAAAAAGGACAAAAAATAAAGAATTGATCGTCCTAGAATTTACTAATTAACCAAAGGAAGATATATGTAACGCTTGATCTTTTTCAGTTTTACTGTTTCCTCGGGGCTGCTAAAATAGGTTTTTTTAATTTACAAAAAGAGCATTTTTGTCAATTTTTGGAATTTGTGTGGAGAAAAATGAAAAGGAAAATTGTGTTCTCTTCTCTATCACTTCTAGAGACATGGGTGTCCTGATATACCAACCAGTTGGAGATGATGCTTGTCAAATGGACACTTCTGGTTGAAAGGAACATTACTTTATTGCTAGTAGAGCTCCAGGTCATGTTTACTCATTAGAAGTTATTTGTGTTGATAATGAAGTTATTTATTCATATAGAAAGTTTCATTATTCAAATTTTGTAATGACTAGTAAATACATGGAAAGATTAAAATTGGCAGTGCTTTTTAAGTGAATGTGCAGGAAGGGATGAAAAACTCTGTAGTTGATATTCTGAGTGTACAGGCTAGTGCAGTGACCTTTAATCGTAGTAACCTCAACCCTTGAAACTCTTGACATGAAAAGATGATGATTCAATGTGAACACCAGGATGTTCTGGTAAAATGTGAAGGAAAAAGGCCCTTTCCAAATATCAGGGGCATAGTCGTTAAAGGTGCCAAGGTCTTCTAAAGCGTAAGCACAAGGTGTAGCATAATGTACACGCCTTAGTGAAGTGAGCCGCATGCGTGATTAATTTTAAACTAAAAGAAATTTGAAATATGTAGCATTTCTAAGAAAAATGTGAATTTTTTGACATATCTTTTTTTTTTGGTTGATAAATAATCAAACTTTATTAGAAAAGCATCACGATGATGCAAAGAATACAAAAAAATAGCACACCCACAAAGGGCCCAACAAACTAAAGATACGAATTTTTTGACATATCAACTAAAGATATCTATTTCTAGTCATGTATAAGCTCATGAAACAAGAATACAAAATGTTGAAATTTATTAATAATACTCTCTCAATAAGATCGTGGATATGATACAAGACACATCGATTTGTGACCCTTGAAAAATTAAAAGATAAAAACGAAGATATGACTATCTATTTTCCTTTCAATTTTTTTAAAATGCATTTTTAATATATATTTCTGTCCTTTATTCCTAAATCCTATGATATAATTCCATGAAATGTAGGCTGCTCTTTTAAAAGTGGACCGAAAGAGGACACCTTGGCTGCTTGTTTTATTCCATGTTCCATGGTATAACAGTAACAAGGCTCACCGAGGTGAAGGGGACCGTATGATGCAAGCCATGGAACCATTGCTATATGCTGCCGGTGTAGATATTGTTCTTGCTGGCCACGTACATGCTTATGAACGCTCGGTGTGTTTATGCTGGTTTAATTTTTTTTCTCAGGGTTTTTAATTGATACCACTTTGACTTATTTATATGGCCATCTTTTCAACAGAAACGTGTCTATGGTGTAAGATCAGATTCCTGTGGTGCTGTCCACGTAACAGTTGGTGATGGAGGCAACAGAGAAGGTTTAGCCAGCAAGTATGTTCTTCATTGTTTAAAGGCCTTTTAATAGTCATATTAAAAAACAAAATAAAAGATAAATAAAAGTTTGAATTTCCCCCCTGCACTAGTTCAATATTTAGCACCATTCTTTGATTTGGATTTCACCCCAGCAATTATTTAGCTTGAAATAATTTGTTTTAAAATTTGATTGCCCTTACCGCATCATATCAACTTTAATTATATATAATTTATGAGGAGATTCAGCTTTCTAATGCTAATGCCTTACCCTTCATAAACATATTAGTTTTGTGAATTTGGGAGCCCAATTCTTTCCATTATTTTCATAGGAGTTGTGCTACAGTTGAATAAAAATAAGAAGGAAGATGTTGCACAAATTAACAAGTCTTACAAACTTTTCTTTTGAACTGATGTGCTTTGCAATAATGAAATTTTGGAAACTAAAACAAATCCTGCTTCAATGCTATGATAGGTGCCACATCAGTAAGTAAGAAAAGTTTGTAAGATTTGCTAGTTTGTATAACTTTACTCAAATAAGAAAGTGCTCTATTTAGTGAGATCATAGCAGATCTACAAATCTGACTAGCATTTTGTATTCATTCTGTGTGAATCCTCATTTCCAGTTTTAGCCCTTTTTTCAATGACAAGTTATGCAAGCAGTTAATCCAAGGCCCTAAAAATGAATTGACAGGTATATAAATCCACAGCCAGAGTGGTCTGTCTTCCGTGAAGCAAGCTTTGGTCATGGCGAGCTCAAGATAGTGAATTCAACTCATGCTCTCTGGAGCTGGCATAGGAACGATGACGATGAACCAGTGAGATTTGATGAGGTCTGGATAACCTCTTTGGTCAGTTCAGGCTGCCTTGCTGATAAGAGGCCTGAACTAAGGAAGATCCTCCTCGCACCTTAGCACCAGTAATAAGAGTGGTGCGTGCATGCTTCTATAATTTCAGACGTGCTTTCTTGCTAGACTTTTATGTAACTATGTAGAAAAACAATGCATATACTTGGCGTATAGTATAGGCACTGCCTGTCTACGTTGTGCTTGTTATGAAGGCAGGAGTATGCTGATGTTGTGTGTGTTGAGCAGCCATAATTGGTGTGTTTTTGCTGCGTTTGTAGTTGGGTTTGTATTTCAAGTGCAGCTTGTCTGCAATATGCTCAATCAGTCAGTTGCTCTATCGTCTGTTTATTATTATTATTAGTCATCAGTCTTATTTCTTGAATGGGGTGAAAATTGCTGAGTCACCTGGAGTATAGACACTGCTATGGTTATGATTTTTTGGTAGGGTGAAGTTTATGCTAGGGTTAAACCAGATTAAATAGCGGGATCTTTGTTCATGAAATTAGATTCACTTTTTTTAAATATATATATATATATATATTTATTAATGTTTTAAAAAATTAATTCGGAGTTTTGGGGAAATGAAAGACACATTGGTTATGTTCTTTTTTGTTTTTTGAAAATTCTTGAAAGTTGTCTGTGGATTGTATCTGAAAATAATTTTAGGAAATTTTATTTAAATACAACTCAACAAAGAAAAGAAATTTTGGACCTTTTAAAAATATTTTTCACACAAGAACAAGAATGATGGTCATTTTTTTAACGTTTAGCTTATTTATTTTGCAAACACAAAAACATATACAGTAAAACAACATTTGTACAAAATTTGTTCCATCATGCTGTATGATTTTTCACACCATTGGCGATCATTCGCCATGATAGCAAGTGAAACTTGGCTCATCCTAAAAGAAAGTGTTTCAGATGTAAGTGAGCCTTACCAAGAAAGTTATTTATGAATAATTAACTGGAAACAATGCAACAAGAATTCTTTTGAAAAGGGCCACCAAAAAAGACAAAATCTGCTGAAAGGACAGCCAAAAAAGAAAAAGAAAAAGGGGGCTTACTTCCATTAAGGAATTGTTTTTACATTTTTTGGTTCATCTCATCAAACCAAGAGACAAAAATAGGAAATTTGGAGTATAGCGTTACAGGGTCCCAAATACATTCTTCTTCTTCTTTTTCCTTCTTTGGTGAGGAAATACGGGTTGCACATCCCTTCTGAAGTTCCACTTTCTGAGCAGCCTAATTGCTGTGATACCAAATGCAAAAGTGATCTCCTTATCAATCTATTTGCATTCGAGTGTCATATCACCGTTGAGGGTTCAGAGGGTTGGCTAAGCAACTTTTGTTTGCATCAGAAACTATGATTACTGGTGTGAAGGTATAAATTCGCCACAGATATTTGCATCCTTATGTCAGCCAACTTGAGTCATCAGATGAGGCAAATTAACTACAGGTAGAACTGTATTGCAAGTTACTAACCCCTCATCTAGCATCTGTGGTGGGTTCTATCAATGAGCTCGAGTCCCGTCCCAACTCTTCCTTGCCCCTCCAAAGGATAATCTGATCATCCTTGAACAAGATAGGGACACACGGTACCAAATCCTAAAACAGCATGAAAAGACAACCGGAAAAAAAAAAAAAAAAAAAAACCTTCAAAATGATCAGTCTTCCTGGTTAAGAGTTTACACATTAAGCCAAGAAAATATATATGTATATATATAATTGGGGTCTGATTTGAGTACAACTCATACCCTTAACTTCACACCGATCTTCTTGCAGTCACTTGAACCCACATGAGTGCAGTCTAGTCGCACAACTTCTTCGGTCTGAAACGCTTCCCTCACTCTCTCCACTACATTCACATAAACACCATTCCTGGCTACAGAAATATAAATGCAAAAATGAGCATATGTGCCAATGTGGATCATGCATACACAGTAATAATTACTCTCTCCGTCCCACACTGTTAGTTTCTTCTTTCCAATTTGGGATGTTCCAAACGTTACTGTTCTTTGAAAAATTACTTTATAATTAATTATCCTTCATAAATGACTATGAATATATTTAGGAAAGGGAATTTAGAGGCAATTTGGGAAACCAATGCCTTTTGATTTGAATTTGAATGCATTAATTACATGTCATGTCACCTTAAAAATTTGGAACTCCCAAAAGGGACCGACATTATGGGATGGAGGGAATACAATTATCCACCATTACAACTGTCTATAAAAGCAATTTTTCACATCAATCTTACATAAATTGAGTTCACTTACTAAGTTTCATTAGAGGATAAAAGTTCAGTCCTCTATTTCTCATTTCCTTCTTTTCTTCAAATGTGAGACCATCAGCAACATTCTTCACAAGCTTTGGATATATTGGCGCATACGGCTTCCACAACATCAAAGGAATAACTGGTCTCTTTTTAAAGTCATAGTTTCGACCCTGATACAATAGAAGGATATTTATGTGGCGGTAGATGATGTTCCCACCAGTTTTGTCCTACAGAGACACTATCACATCATCAACTTAAATATCCTTGCAACCAAATAAGCAATTGAATTTCTCAATTCGAAAAGGAACAAGCTGTTCCAAGTTCAAACCTCAAGCTGGAAGCAAACATTATCTGTGTCAAGAGTTGGCACACCCATGCACTTGATCTTAACGGCTTCAGCCTGCTTCCGGTGGTTGTGAATGTCTTTGAGCATGTTGTGAGTAACACCCCCCTTCCCTAGCGTGAATAGAATTATAAATTCACTAGTTATTTACAAATGTTGAAGCTTAAGCCTAATGCAGTGCAATTAGCTTTTGTTCCAAGTCCAATTACATAAGCAAATAAAATTGAACCATAAAATCAAACAGATCCAGCATTGTTTGCCCCCCAGAACTTATGGTTCCATGTAAAAAGTAGCAGTACATGTTATCAAGGCAGCTCAAGTTAAAATTTATTGCTCACAACATAAGCCCCCACAAATAACCTAATTTACATGCGATAGTGAATTTTACAATTCCAGTGTAGAAGTGCATATGATGCGGAGAAGGTTAGTTGGGATGGGTTTCAGTGTGAAAGTCCATAGCTGCTAAATATCCAAGTTAAACAGATGCAAATCATGTGGCCTGTGTCTGTCCATGAATGTACAATATGACTACTCCCTAAGTAGCATGGCATGCGACACGACACCAACATGAAACCAACATGCTGACATGTTGATTTTCAAAAAATGCCAGATACGATACTCTTGCGACACGATAAATTTTTTATTTTTACAAATTTATTATATCATATATATAAATAATTTATTTAAAGATAATGAAAAAGATATAACATAACACCAATTATATTAAAAGCTATATATTTCATAACTTAACATCAGCACATCATGCACATAACAAGTGTCGGAAGAGTCAGGCACACTGAAGAAGTGTCTGTCATGCTTTTAGGAGTGCCTAAAGAGTATTGGTGTCCGACATGGGTGTCGGACACGACACGGTTCCACAAAAATGTCCATGCTTCTTAGGCAACTCCAAAGATGACTAAAATCAAGGATCTCGATAGTATCAATGTCTAATTACTTCAGTTTCTTCATTCAATGAGCAAACAAGAGCCAATAATGTGAAATTTATACATGTTTATACTCACATTCCATTAGTCTAACTAATCAGCAGAAATAATGCATCATGCATCAAACCACATGAATTCAAATCGTCACTAATAAAAAATTATAATGAAAATCAAACCCTAAGTTGTATAGCTTCACCATTCAGAAAATTGAACTCAAAAGAGGCACATTAAATAAGAATATAGCACATACAAACACATACATGTCTATACAAAAAGAGAGAGAGTACCCAAATTAATCTGTCAAGAACAATCATTATGACGTAACCGTTCCACAAGCGCAGCGACTTCTTCTTTGGAGAGTGGTTCTCCAAGAACCTCACATCGTTGTTCTTCTAACTTTAGCAAATCAACTGCTTCCTTGGCCAGAGCACAAGGGCCGGTCCATTTCCGGTCAAGCCGTCCAGATCCAAAGGGAGAGAATCTCGGCGGTTCATGGTACCCAATGGGCTTAATCGAAGGGTTAGTCTCAGAGTATGAGTATCTGAAATCGAAGGGTAGATTTGATTTCAATGGAAAATCCAAGTCTTTCTCGGATTTCAATGAAGCTTTGTTTTGACTATTCCCTTGCTTCTTTTCCTTGTTCTCGTTATTGGGTTTTAGGGTTTTGGAGGTGAATGAAAATGGAGGGTCATAGGTATCTTCATTTTGGGATTGAGATTGGCTTAAAAAACGAGAGATACAGAGGAGTGTTGGCTGGGTTACATCATGAAAGGGGATGCTTGAGTGTGGGGTTAGGGTTTGATGTCTTGAATGACGCCATGGAAAGATCTTTACTAGCATTGGTGGGAGGGAACTACTTTTCTGTGAACAGCGCTCAGCTGACAGAGAGAATCACCATACAGTTGGGCAGTTAACAATCAGTTGAAACCTGAAAGACAATTTCAAAAAGGTCATTACAGTGAAGGACCTAAATTATATTATTTTTAATTTTTCACTATTTCATCCTCTTTGACTTTGTTTGAAATAAAATAATAAATGACAGACATATATTCAAGATTATAGAAGCAATCTGTATACATTAAAGGCACGAGATCGAGATTTTTTATGAAAGGGAACTTTTGAGAAGAACTTCATAAGATAAAATGAACATGACAATGTTTAAATAAAAGGAAAATGATAATAATTTCTTACAATTAAGAATGCTTGTTTGGGTAATCTAAAAAATGGACCAGGTCAGGTCGACTTTTATTAAGTTATCAGAATTTTTGAAAGAATAATGTTTGAGGGCCCGAAATGAGTGGGTCGAATTTGGCTCAAAACTCAAAACGACGTCGTTTTGGGTTTTCATTTTTTTTTTTTTTTTCATTCTTTGCATTTTTTTTTTTTGTTTTTTTTTTCATTTGCTCTAACATTTGCCTGGGTCGCCCTTCCAGGTTTTCGGCCCAGCGAGCCTCTCAAGGGTAAAAGTGTAGCTTTGTCTATGTCAAATGGTTTTAGGATCTCGAAGCCATCTGAATCCAGAAGAATGGCTGTTGTTTGTT